TGGGGGGGGGGGGGAGGGGACAGGTCTTATATCCACTGAATACTGGTTTGTGTTTCACCGAGTCCTGCAGGAAAGTGTTGCTGAATACTCTGCTTGGTTTTATACTGCATTGTTGATTGCAGAAGTAACTTGAAACAGAAGATAACACTGATGCTGAAGTTTAAAGATAATGTTTATTCTCTCATTCTTTGGGGATTTTTAGACCCTTGAAGGAGGATCTTACCGGGGAAGCTTGAAAGATGCCACTGGCTGCTTAAATGAAGGAATGACGCCTTCAACTCCCCCACGAAACCTTGAAGAAGAACAGAAAGCCAAAGCAATGAGAGGCAGGATGTAAGTCATCTTGCTGGTTCTTCTTTCTGAAATATGCACCCAAGGAGGACACATAGCTGCACTGAAAAAATACTTTGTAGTCAGTGAGTGAGCATAGAGCTGGGAGTAAAACTGTGTTCTGCTTGCTTCTGTTTTTCCTTAACCTGTAAAAATATTTTATAAAAGCATTTGCACACTCAGGAAGTTCATCATCACCCTTTAAAATGTGCAGGTTTACCCCAGAAAGCAAATACCTGTTGCTGTAAAAGTCTCTGAAGAGAAGTATTACAGAGACATTTGCCTTGGTAGTGACTGCATTGCCAGAGGAGAAATGAGCTCTCAAAGAGAGGATATGTGGTTGACCTTTTTAGCTTCCTTCAAGGAAAGGAACAGAGAATCCCACTAGGATTCTTCAAATAAGGTGATAATTTTTTACCTTAGCTATTTGCAAAGGAATGAGCAGAATTCAGATACATTTGTGGTGGAAATATGCCACCAAAGATACAGTTTCATTTGGGAAAGCCTCATACTCATGGCACTAGGAGCGGAAAGAAATAGTGATAGTTTATGAAAGGAGTTTTTAAAATTAGCTGTACACTCCTGTAAATGTAGCAGAAATAACATTTGTGCTTTCAAAACTTATAAAGATTAAAAAATTCCTTAAATGCATGGTTAGCCTGAAGGACACAGAGGACCTGGGAAACAGAATCAAGAATTCTATGAAAGAAAGTTTGGGTAGCTGGGTTTTTTTGTACTGCTTGTTACACTAAAAACAGTAACTGCAGCCATCTAATCAAATCATGCATTGATGGGAAAAGTAATGGTCCATACAGGTCTAATTGGAGTGTGGTAAGGTGAGAAGTGGAAGAAGAGTATCACATTTGGAAAAGATGCCTGGCAGGGATGGAAAAGCAAGGCAGGGGAGGATAAGAGGAAGTTAAGTGTAGACAAGGAAGCAGGAGCAAAATGTCACAGGTCTGTGAAAGCAATCATTTGCTTCTGCAGCTTCTTGTAGGAAGCCAGAGGAGCAAGACAGTGAAGGACTGGATCAACTCCCAGCAAAAGGCAGGGACAGGACGCTCCTGTATGTGTTTCTGAATGGGGGAAGTTTTCTACTAGACAGCTGTCAGCCTTCCCACAGGGAACATCTCTGCCCACGCCTGTCCCCTAAAAGCTCCTCAATGTTGCAAGTTCTGGGGTTTCTCTGGTAGCAATTCATTTATGAAATAACTGCCAACTGACTTCAGGTTGCAGTTTTAGTGCAGAGACCTTTGCCACTGTGACCACAGATACCTTGATGCTTTGTGACAGTTCTGGCAGGGGGACAGGCAGCGTGTTACACATAATTAGTGGCTGCCTCCGTCCAGATTTCCTAAACGCCAGGATGTTTAGGAGCACCTGCTAGTGGCTTTCAGCACAAGACATCTGTCTCTTCTCCAGCTTCTTTGTGTCTGTGTTCTGTATCTCTGCAGCTTGCTGTGTTTAATTCCATAACCGTATGAGGCAGCTGAGCTCCAGACTTGAGCTGTGACCCCTCATGCTCCACAAACAGCAGTTGCACAGGCATGGACAGTGATTTCCTGTGCCTCTGGCGGCACTTGCATGCCAGCAGTTAGCCTGAGTGTTAGGAAGTCCCTATTCCATCAGACTTGTTTGCTGAATCCCTATGAGCAATAAGGCAATGGTCTCATCTAGTCATGGTGTTCTGTATAGTTTTAATACAGTGCTGACAAAATATCCAGATATTCAGACTTATTCAGAAGTAAGGAGGTTCTATGGTTATTCCAGTTCATGCCATTTGAAATACAGCTGTGTAGTCAACACCTTCTGGTGACCAAGGCAGGCACCTTCCAAGCATCTGCCTGCACTTGCTGCATGTTATCAGATGAGGAGATGAGTGAATTTGAATTTGTGGCAGCATGCATCTTAGAAACCTTAAATTTGGGAGTATCTCTCAGGTCCTGTGTTAGGTGGGCTTCAGGAAACTAACAGAGAGGGTCAGCGTTGATTCTTCTGGTTGCTAGGAAAAGAGGGGCTGGGGGAATGCTGATGCTGAGTTAAGACAGGCAGTGGAGATGCAGACCCTGCTTCCTAAAAGGTGCAAATTTGCAGGTTTAGTGTGTCCATCTGATAGACACCTGGTTGCTCCACTCATTTGTAACTCAAACCCAACTGCCTGCATGTGCAGCAACATGAAGTACTACAAGTACATACTTGCTGCTTCATTTTTAGAGCAGGGTTTGGCCAGATGTACCCTTGCAGTAACTCCAACCCAAGGAGCTGGCTGTGGGAGAGGCAGGGAGCAGAGGGGAGAGGTTCTCCCCATCTTTTCAGCAGTTCTCTGTGTTCATAAGGACAAGGCAGGTGGAGGTGGTGCGAGATGGCAAGTGCCCTCCTGCCATGCCTCCCTGTGTGGAGGAGCTGGGGCAGGGCTTCTGCAAGGGCACGGTGGGTCAGCCAGCAGAGGGGACTGCCCAGCACACTCTTGCTCAGGCCACACACTGCTGCTTGGTGACGGAGCAGCCTTTTGCCCCGTGCATGTTGACTGCCCAGGCGCGCAGCTTGGCAGGGCGCTTCGGAGGGCACAAGCATCTGGCATCGCTGCTGCCAGCCCTGTCCTCTGCCAAGGGGGCTGGATTTCACTCTCAAATGAACAAGAAGCTGTTTGACTTCTTCCTGCCACGTGTCTTAAGTATCTCCTCTGAGCTGAGCAAGGGACACATTGGGCAGGATTTATTTTCTCAGTAAACTCTCATAACTGATTGTCTCCTTGCAACACCAGCCAGATTTGTTTTTTCTCTAGATAATTCAACCAGGCTTTTATCTCAGTTCTGTTTGCCCTCAGCTCTATTGTTTCAAGTGGGTCAGCCTGCTGATTGATGTGAACAGTGATATTAGACATGAAAGCAATCCTCTATCTTGTTAGCCTTGTTACTGCTATAGTGAACTTGAGCACAGATGGAGTTTATTTGTCATGTGCCAAATCTGTGTATTGGTGTAATTGAGAGGCAAACTGTCTGCAGCAAGCTGTAACTTTTTGAAATCATCCTCGAAAGAACATGATGTGATTAGTCAGTTTGCCTTACAAAGGAGGGGCTTTTTTTAGCTTGCTGTTGTTTGCATCCACCAGTCTTTCATTAGATGACTCCCCTACCCAGGTTTTTTAGCTTTGAAATCAGTGTAAAGCATTTGACACCCACATGTAGATTGCCTAATCTGAAAGATTAAACGCTTGGTTATGATGGAAGGGGGGCATTTGTTTTCCAAGTGTTTGAAATTTCCAAATGAAAAGTGAAATGATGAATCTTGGGCAAAGCCAAATTCCAAGTCACAGAATCACAGAATTATTTAGGTTGGAAAAGAACCTTAAAGATAATCTAGATCTAACCCTTCTGCATTGGCAGAGTGGAGGAGATACTTAAGTCCTCTCCTGCTTGCTGCAAAATGGGTCAGGACTTGTCTCCATTGCCATCAGGAGGGATGCATGAGGGGTGGAGGAGAGGAGAGCAGGGAGGGGTAGTTCAAAGTACAGGCAGCTGTTTGTGCTGCTGCTCTTGCACCATCCTGGGATAGGGGGTAAAAAGGGGTAAGATGAAAGAGTAGTTAAGAGAGCTGAAACTACCCTGACCTGAAATGTGGCATTTTTGTCATTTACACTCCACTGAGCTGTATGTGAGCAAAGAGTGAGTCCTGTTATGTAACCTAGAATGACAGTGGGGTAATATGTGGTAAGAGGAGCAAACAGTAACATCAAGTAATATGGTCAAATATGTGTGTGTTCTGTTTTAATTTAGGTTTGTCTTAAATGAGCTGGTACAGACTGAGAAAGACTACGTCAAGGACTTGGGAACTGTTGTGGAGGTGAGCTGAAGCAAACCCTGCTATGCAAAATGCTTTCCCACTGGAAAGCACCACGCTGGAGAGTGTGGACAGAAAATACAGCATGAGAAACAAACTGCTTTGTATTGCACTCTGCTTCCATGGTCCCCTTCTCATGTTGACAGAAACAAGAAGAAATGTCTTTGGAAACTATTTTTGTTTCCATATAACAAATCTTGTATTTTAGGTTTCAGCCTCAGTGTGCAAAGGTTTTTCTTGGCTACTCTGCTTGTGACAAACTCTTCCTGCTGTAATGCAGCCTTAAGGGCACTAGTGGAGAATAACACATGCTCCCACCACTTCTTTCGTGTTTTTCTCGCTGTCATATTGAGTAATGGTAACACATGCTTTACTTGAGTTTGCACCTGGACTGAAGTCCTACATGTTAGTACCTTTCCAGAAGCTGGGTTTGGATCTGTGCTGAGGTACCTGTGTGGGCTGTGATTTATTGTTTGGAAAAAAAATATATAAAATTGAGATACAATTGAGTTTTGCAGGGTTTTTTTCTGTTAAAAAGGAGTTGTAGTATTTTAACCTTCAACTTGTAAGGCCTGGCTGATCCCTGGGAATCACCTGTCCAGGTTTTTTCCCAACCAGGACTCAGAACTGGAGGCACATGACTGGCGTGGGCTTTCAGCAGTGCTTTTGTTATTCACTGGTCCAAGGAGAATTATCAGCCCATCTAACAGTGATTTTCAACAGCTTCCAACTTGAAGCTTCCAACTTTGTGTTTTCTTCTGTTTGCATCATGCTCCACTGGCAAACCTGACAGGGCTGCTCCAAAGGCTTGTAAAGAAACTCTCAGGAAGTGTGAGAAATCTTATTCATATGACTCTAAACTTACTGCTTGGCTTTGTGCTCTCACAAAATACTCATGGCGATGAATGGAAGAGCTCTGTGCAGAGTCTGGCTTCTTCCTTCTACCAGAGAAGGCAAGAGCTTGATAAACTACTTTGGTTTAACTTTTATCTTCTACTTGCACTTGTGACTTCAATGACATTTAGTTATGGTTTGTAGATACTCAGAACAAATTCATTGAAGTATTCTTTTAAACAAACTGTGTAATTTAAAGTATCTAGATGGATTTCTGGTTGTAAATTGTACAAAAGGTATTTTAAGTATTTTCAATCTAAAAAGTCCTGACATTGGTCTTTTAAAAAAATGTTGCTTTTTTGAAAAAAAAACACGTATTTGTGCTTCTCTTCAAACTAACCCTTTGCTAATCACTGATCATTAATCCTAAAGGGCTTCATGAAGAGGATAGAAGAAAAGGGAGTTTCTGAAGATATGAAAGGGAAAGACAAGATAGTATTTGGCAATATTCACCAGATCTATGACTGGCACAAAGAGTAAGTATTTGGTTTATTTACTTTTTAAGCTCCTTTCTAACCACTTGCCCATAAAGAACTGGGATATATGATGTCTGTTCACCTAAGCTACTTTTAATTGAACGTCAGCAGGTCATTCAGGGCTGAACTTCCAAAGGACGTTGCCTCACTTTAAATGGTCTCTGTTGGTTTGTAAGTCCTACTAAATAACCTCATGAATCATGGCTACCTTATATCCTGAGAACATCTTCTAATTCATCTGCTTTTAGCCACAGTTTCACGATACATTAGATCCTGACACAGGGCTTTGTTTACCCAATCAGAAATGGCAATTGCATGATGCAAAGCATTGGTCTTACATAAAATCCTTTCTCCCCAGTCAGAAACCTTTAGGGGGCTGTGGCTTTGCACTGCCTGGCTTCATGGGAGGGTATTTGTACTGCTGTCTCTCACAGGTACAGCTTTATGCTGGCTCAAAAACCATGCCAGAAGTGCTGGTCAGTGTGACAGAAATGCTCTTGCACTCAGGAGGGTGTGCTCTATGTCAGTGCTGTGCTGCCAGCAGCTCTGCTGGGGAGCCAGGACCAGAGGCTCAGTGGGAGAGATCATTGTGGTCCATCCACAGTTCCAGAGCTACTGCCCATAAGCAGTTCCAGTGTGACTCCCAGATAGTTGCTGCTCGTAAGGCACTTGCAGGATCCTCAGAAAAGCTACTGAGGCTACCCTAAGTGTGTTCTTTGGGTCACAGTGTTAGGCTCAATTCATCCCACTGATGAATGGAATGCTGGAAAGTCATGGTTTCCTTCCTATGTCTTTTGGTTCTCAGCAACACAAGCATCTTCACATGCAGCTGACAATACCAATAACGTTTGGCCACTAGAGTGGTAAAATGCAAATACTTTCAAGATCATTCTCATGTGAAAGCTCTGACGTGCTTTGGCTTAGTTGATGCTTTGACTCTGAGTTAGCAACTCATTTCCTTTGAAAATCTTACTCCTGTCCTCATGCAGGTAGCTTTTGAAAAGCTGCTAGAAATATGAAGTTTATTTCAAACCCTGAGCCACTTTCACTGTAACTTTATTAAAAGCAGTGTCTTGCTTATCACAGAATTATTGAGGCTGGAAAAGACCTTTGAGATCAAGTCCAGCCTATGACCTAACACCACAACAATGGTGGTGTTGTGGATGATATGGTCATCATTTCAGCTCTCAGCCAGGAAACACAGTATCCTTCCAATCACATGTACCACAGGTGCTTATCTTATGGCCTGGGCCTCTCTTTATGTTCTGATAGTTGCCCTTGTGAGCCCAAAAAAGAAAAAGTCAGAAAAAGCTTCACCATATATTAAGTTGATACCCACAGTGGAGTTTTTTTACTAGTGCTATTCATTTTTTAAGTGTGATGGTGATAGTAGGAGTTCTCTGTAACACACAGGGAGGGATTTCCTATTTTTAGCTCTGTATATCTGGGTCAAGAAGTCTATTTAAATGCAGATTAATATTTAGGGAGGATTGAGTTAAGGAAGTAGCTGTATCTGGTAGTAGTCATGTTTATTTGGGACACCTGTCCAATGTGCATCTTTTTTTTTGAGATTCTGGGATTTTATGGGACCAGATCATTGCAGGCATGTCCTCTCACCAAATCTGGCTACTGTAGCAAACACATGGAGGCATCTGAGACAAATCCTGCAGTGAAAAACATTATAATCATGGAAAGAAAGATTGTCAGGATTTGCCTAACAGTTAGAAAAACCTAGTTAGAAAATCTCGGTGTGTTCCTGGTAAGGACATTCAAGCTAGAATGAAGGAACTCCCCAAAGGGCAAGACAGAGATGGTGTTTCTGAATTACTGTTATGAATTACAGTATATTACAAACAGTCATACACTGTGAAACAGTGAAAATCAGAATGGACCAAAACTGCATCAGCAAAAATGTGTTAATTTGCTTATTTAAGTGGAAACTTCTGCATCTCTTTCACGTTGACCAGTACTCCAAATCTGCCCGTGCAACTGGGAACTCCTGGTAAAGCTTCAGTTGAGTTTTCACAGGTGTTTTGGTATATGGGAAAGTTTTACTTTGGGAGTTCTCAGTGAAGGAAATCAGTGCTTGCAATTCAATAGTAATTGGCACTTTTAAAAAAATGAAGCCTCTGTAACAGTAAAGAGCAGATAGTTTGCAAGACAAAATCTCCATATTTCACAGCTCCCATCGGATGTTTTAGAAATGCCACCATTAAGGGCTGAAGCCATGCTTACCTTTTCATTTAGAATTGAATACTGTAGCTAAAATTGTACTGATATATCTGAAGGACAGGTTGTTTGCTGCTGAGATGACCCAAAGAATTCTGAAATGTTGACATCCTTTCTTTCAGCTTTTTCCTGGCCGAACTGGAAAAATGTCTTCAAGAACCTGATCGTTTAGCACAGCTTTTTATTAAGCATGTAAGTTTTATTTTGTTACCTATGTCTAGTGTAATTGTGATTTAGAGTGTGATGACTCCTCTCTGAAAACATCTACTTGTGTCAACTTGATACTTTTACTTGTCAAAACTTAATTTAAATGTGGAGTAGTCTTAATTTATGTATCTTCAGTGAGCAGCTGGATTTAACTGAGGCATTAATCATTGCCTTCTTCAGACTTCTTATTTTGGGGCAAAGTTGGTGTGGCCAAGGACATCTGCCAAAATATAATTCTGGCAGCCACTCACCAGCTGCAGCAGTTGACATGCTTGTGTGATATTAACTAGTGCAGAACAGTGGGGCAAATTTCAGACCCACCAGTTTGGGGAGGATGTTTCTAACTGGTTACCCCTATGGAAGCCTCCCCTTGCCTGAGGTGCAGAAGTGGAGAACAGAACCAGTTATCAATTTACTTTCCTACTTCAGAAAACAAACAGGACATCATAGCAACCTTCTGTCAGTGTTTAATGACAGGCCAGCATGGTAGCCAATGTCTCACCAGGCTGCTGTGCATCTTGCTTTCACAGGAACGGCGATTACACATGTATGTGGTTTATTGCCAAAACAAGCCACGATCTGAATATATAGTAGCTGAGTATGAGACATACTTTGAGGTAAGCATGGCTCATGATACATTACTGCTACCTGTGGCTGTGAATCCTAGGCAAGTAGACTATTCTATGACCTGTGGGGTTTGTCTAAAACAAATTTGAGACAATATTCAAACTGCATGTGCTGCTAAAATCTCTGCTACAGGAAAAAAAAAAAAGTTATTTCATTTATATAAAATTCTCATGTTGTTAATTTCTAGCAAACATTTAATCCCATACTAACTTTCTGTGGCCCTCAGAGTGCCACAACTGCATTGGTTTCTGTCCAAAACAAAAAAAAAGACTTTTTAGTCTGTAGTTTACAAACGGGAGGAGGCTAAAATGGTCAGAGCTGAGTGGTGCCTCCCATAAATTCCCAATAACTTTGTCTCTTTCAAGAAGACTAGACACATTTAGATATGAATGTGAAAGCAGCTTGTTTAACAAGAGAAAGATGTTTCCTTTCACCCAAGGGCATGAAGCATGCTCTGCAGGGTTTGTTTGTGAGCTAATCCCCACTGCAGTGGAAAGAGCAATCTCCAGACCACGCTGTGCTGCTTGGTCAGCTCAAAGGGGGAAGGGATCTGTGCTTTCCAATGCCTTCCAGCTCGGTCATGACTTTTACCCAGTCCTTGCCTAAATAGGACATGCCAGATTTCTAAATCCTCTAAAATTCCCTCTTGCAAACAGAAGATTAAGAACAGAACCACTTTCTGTGGAAATAAGTCTCTGCTGAGACATATTATCATGTTCTCTGTCTTACTTTGTGATTGTTTGCAATTGTTTTTAATCCTCAATTTTTTTAGGAGGTCCAACAGGAAATAAGCCAGCGACTCACCATCAGTGACTTTCTGATCAAACCCATTCAAAGAATAACTAAGTATCAGCTTCTTCTCAAGGTGAGTGGAAAGATACATTTTGGACTAAACTACAGTCAGCATCTTGCATTAAGTGCTGCTATTTTCAATCAGCCTGAGTTTTAGCTGGGGAATAACTTCATCAAAATAAGAGGGAAGAGGAGTCTGCTTATACATGGACATATAATAATAATGTTCCTTGAAAAATGTCCAGAGAGCAGGAGGGCCACATCTGTGGGAGTAGTTTGTAATTAATAAAAATATTTTTAAAATTTATTTGCTGTTGGAATTTTTTAATAGAAGAATAAACTTCAAATAGGAATTTTCTTCCCCTGAAGCTTCAGGACAAACTTTCATTCCATTTTTTAAAATTGCAATAAAGATACACAGGAGCATTAAAGCCTGGTTTTGGTGCTGACTGGTATGATTCTAACTAACACTACAGCCTCTGTTTCTGAGTATCCCTCTTGGAATTCACTTGAGAAACTTATTTCCAGAATATTCTGATGTCTGAAAATTTGAGGAGCCCACCGTAATGATTTTCCCAAGGAGTCTGACCATTCTGGCTTCTGCTGTCTGTCCATAACACCAATTACTTAGTATGTCTGAACATTCATCCCTAGGGGTCTCAAGCTAGTATCTAAAATTAGGCATGTCTGAACGTTACTGCTGTAACCTCCAGCAGTACTGGGGCTCTGAGCTGGTTTCTTCTCCTTTTTTCAGCTAGTCTCCAGCAGGCTGCCATCAGCCCACAGTTAGGTAGGTGCACACTTGCAAAGGGACAGCAGCACGTTCCCTGAACTGCCAAAGGGAAAAGGAAAATCTTTAAGTGTGTGTGGTCTTGAGGCTTAAGACAGGGACCAAGTCAGCATTCCCAAGGGCTAATCCCCACTTTGTCTTCTTACTATGATGTTTTCAGCAACCATCCACCCCTCTTTTCCATATCTAAAAAGTGGTTATAACATTCAGCAACCTCTGAAGATGAATTTATTAATATTGCCAAATTCCTCCTCAGAAAATCACATGCTAAATACACTCTTTCTCACTGGCATCTTTTGTTTTCTCTTTCTGAAGTGCCTTAATGCAAACCTTTCTGCTTTCTCCAGGACTTCCTGAGGTACAGTGAAAAAGCTGGTCTGGAGTGCTCTGATATAGAGGTATGATTTCATATCCTGGACAATAGCACTACCTCATCTTTATAGAGAGAAATGAAAACTCCAGTTCTGCTGACAGGGATTGAAGGTCCTGCTGCTATCCTAAACTTAGCTGAAGTCAAAAGAAAAAGATGAAGGCACAGTCCTACACTGTAGATGCACCATCCTGTTTTAGACTACTGTACATCTTCAGTGCATGAGGGCCTCACCATAAATAACTGCTAGCAGTGATTGGGCTATTGAAGTTCATTATTTGACACTTTGTTTGTAGGAACCCTTTGATTCTTTTCTAACAACCAACATCCTTTATCCTTAACAGAAAGCAGTTGAACTAATGTGCCTTGTACCGAAACGCTGCAACGATATGATGAACCTGGGTCGCCTCCAAGGGTTTGAGGTATGAATTTGCTTTCTGCTTTTAATAACAAAGCATGAAAAAGTATTTTATCTTTCTATGATTGCCTCTACAATCTGTCCTGTTCCAGGCTATTTATCTACTGCTTGTTTTTCTCCAGCACTGAGCTGCGTGCTTCAGTGATGTTTCAAAGATGGAGGTGATACAGCTCTCACTCTAAATCTGTGACAGGCTACCTGTTGTTTCTTCAAAGTGTGAGGTCTGTTAAAGCTTCTGCAAGTTGGAATTACACTTCTTAAATCTATTGCCAAAGCAAAAGAAATGGTAAACCAGACTGCTTTATCTATTAGTAAGGCCACCTAGCATTAACACGTTAACTGCTCCTTCCGAGGTTGGCAACATCCAGGAAGGGACCTGTGAGTTATAACCCCATGGGTTACAGCTTGTGGTTTGTAATTAAGCCAATGTAGACTTCGGCAGTCCTGGTGAGATGTCTTATCTCCAAAATGAAGTCAAGTTTGTCTTGCCATCTTATGCATTGTAGCATGCCTGCAGACAGGTAGGTCCTGGGTTCTTGCACCTTCAGAGGTCTTGTGTCCCTGCCTGCTGGCTTAGGTGGTGATGAAGAGCTCATGACCAGAGGGAACTCAAGACACTACAGGAACAAACTACATAATGGGAACAGTGTTTGAAATAAAGTATACAAAAGAATCTCCTTGAGACCTCTTGCTTTTGGTTTTGTACGCACAAGCAGTGGCAATGAGAACAAAGAAAGCCTGTGTTATTTTCTTTGAACTGAGATCTTGATTTCCAAGGTTACTTCTTTGATAGCTTAGAGGGCATATGTCTCACGTGAATTCAGCACTGTGTGGAAAACCTGGACTGCACAAAACATAGCAGATCATCTTGGGGGGATCGTGGTGGGTCAGGATTTGTAACCTTGGTGTCTTGTCTGCTTTTCAGGGCAAGCTGACAGCTCAAGGCAAGCTGCTGCAGCAGGACACCTTCTACGTGACAGAGCAGGATTCTGGAGTTCAATCTCGGCCGAAGGAGCGTAGGGTGTTTCTCTTTGAGCAGATAGTTATCTTCAGTGAACTCCTTAGAAAAGGATCTTTGACACCAGGCTACATGTTCAAGAAAAGCATAAAGGTAAGAAACAGAGAGGGAGAAGCATGTTGTTTGATGGTCACATTAGGAATTCTTAGCAATCTTCTATACTGTAAAACTGGTCCATCCTGTCATGGGTGGACAACAATTTGCAGAAAAGATTGGCATTTAGTTTTCAGTGGATCAGAAGCTGTTTAAACTAAATAAACTACTGGGTGTCTAAATTTACTAAGTAATTTTTACAAGGAGCGCAGCCGGGGCAGCTCCTTCGTAATTTGCAGCTCTGAGTTAGCAAATACTGCTACAAAACCTGCAGTGGTCTAACAGAGTATACAATCATTACTCTTAAGCATAATCATAAAAGGTGGGGGAAGGTGTAGTATCCAAAACAGTCATCTTAAGCCAAACCATAAATCACTATTAAGCCTCTATGTGACATTACTGAAATACTCTCTCAACTGACAGGAGAGCTTTTAGCACAAACGTGAATGTTGCAAGAAGACAGAACTATTTCAAAACCAAAAAAAAACCACACACAGTTCTAAAAATGCAGGATGAGGAATTGTAAAATAAGCTACATTATAAAGCTTAAAGAAATTAATTTTGGTTTTAAATAATCTTTCCAGATTATGGGGCTGTGACTGAAAGTAAAAACTGAAAGTAACCAAGGAAAATGTTTATTTGCTTATTTGTTTGTCTAAGGGGTATTATGTTTGTTTAACAAATGCAAAGTTAACCTATGAAATGGTAAGTAAAGGTGAATGAATGCTACACCTCTTCTGGTGGAAAAGCCTTTGCTGTGTTTGCAGAAAGAGCAAAGTTTCTGGTTCATGTGAGTATCTTGATAATTCAAAGCAGAGAAACCAATCTGGGATTGATTTCCTTTTTAAAGATATAGGTTAAAAAGAGATGTGGGAGAATGTGTCGTCTTCACTCTAAATTTCAAGTGGTACATTCATGTGAAATAGATGAGAACAATATCAGATTAAGTAATACATATTAACCACATATAACTGAACAAATCTATGATAAAGGGTGTATTTACTGAAATGGTGGCATCTTCTTGGCTGACAGAAACCGCAGTATTTACTGAAAAGCCTGTATCCTTTGCTAGTCTGTGTGTTTTATAGTTTCCAACCAAATAATACAGTATGAAAGAAAGAACGGAAGTGTACAGATAAACAATCATCTTAATTTAGATAATCAGTTTTGATTTTATCTTATTGCTGATTTAAATAATTAGTAAAGTTGGAGATGGAAATAACATGAATAATTTTCACTTCAGTTTATTGTGTGTGTAACAATGAGGCTTTTATCTGCAGGAAACAATTCTTAAATTGTATATTGTAGATAAAGAGAGAAAAATAAATCTCTCCTAATGTCAATAAAATGAGCTTGCCTCAAGGGTGTGAGTTGCTTTTCTAGTTAAACAGCCTGTGAAAGTAATGCTCTTCCCACTGCCTGAGTTTCAAATTTTTGTGTGATAATTTTTCAGTCCCTGTTTTCTTCTGTTTGGCCAACAGCTCATTCTCCTGCTGAGTGCCTGTGGCAAGGGTGGGATCCCCTGTGCATCTCCCCCACCTCAGTGTGGAGCCTGTGTGCTGGCAGCTCTCACACTCTGCCTCCCAGCCCCTGTTTCAGCTCCTGGCTGCTTTGAGTTTCTCTTGAGCTTTCTCACAGAGGTGAGCTGTGACCTGCAGCAGAGCAGGACCATTCCCTGCCTCTCTGTGCCATGGGTATCCTCACCTTGCAGTGGAGCCTCAGCCTGAGCCAGGTGATTGCCCAGCAAGAGGTACTTTGTTCAAAGGCGTCACATAAATAGGCTGCCTCATCACCTGGTTTTCATAACCCTGCCCTAGAAGTGGGCATCCAGATACTGCATCTGTTCTGAATTCATGAGCAGGAGTTTGAGGACGCTTGATACAGTCAGCTAGGACCAAGTTTCTCTAACCTTGGTTTGAGTGCTTACAAGATCCTGCTGGGCAGGTTGAACCCATTGTTGCAGCAGTTACCAAGACTGACTCCATCATTGACTACCTTTGATACTATCTGCCATCATGGTTGTCCAGTTCTCTGGAAAACACTCCCTGAGAGATGTAGGCTGTTTTCCCTGCCAGTCACATCCTCCCACACAGCAGAAGGACCTGTGTCACAGCCCCAGCTCAGCACTGAGGTCTCTCCATTAGACTAAGAAGAGCATATGACTCCAAATGCTGCTGACCTGGTCTGTCAGGGAGATGAAGCTCCCAAATATTGTTCTCTAAGTTCTGTCACATTCAGACTGTGATAGAAGCTTCACCATGTTGTTCTACATAAGCAAAAGAACCTTCTTTATGCAGTGAGGTAGTTAACATTCAGAAATAGCACTTCTCTTCTTGGATATATCTCAGCTGGATGCCTTTCAGAGTCTCAAAATACCTAAGTGGGTAACCTGGGCAAATGCAGCTCCCTGGGACACAAACAGGAGATTACAGATTCTGTCTTACATACTGGTTTTGGCTTGCTTGCTTTGGCTACCAACCAGAGTAGCAAGAGCTTAGAATAAAAGGAAAAGCACTGTCCAGGCTCACTGTCTGTCCCTTTCCTTGTCCTCAGTGTCAAAGGAGTTCCTGCCTGTCTTTCTAACTTAACAGGGACTCCCAGAAGAGAAGGAAGAGTCTTCTTCCATCTTGCAGTTTGGATGCTGGACACTATTCAGATGTAGAATGGATCTCTTCATACCTTCACACATATTCAGAGCAATTTGAGATAGATCTCTTCTCAAGAGATGTTGTTGCCTTGGTCTTCAGAGCTATCTACTTTTGACATGAAGACTTCCCCCCATTTCTCTTTTTTTGAGAGGCTGTGCCAACCTATTCTTGTTTACTGTCATAGTCATGAATAGCTCAAGAAAAACTGAAGTTATGTGACTACAGTCAATTGATGTGGTTGCACACAGATGATGATGAAATCTGCTAGAAAAAAGATCATCTGTTGGAGCACCAGGGGAGAATTGCTGGGTTTTTTGGTATATCCCTTTGCACAGTCAGTTCCATTTTTAAAATACTCTGATGACTTTCTTTCCTGTAGAGAATAAGAAATGTAAACACTTATTTAAATTGGAGGAATTACAGGGTTTAACATCTTAATAGAAACATTTTAACTCTATTTGTGGGTTATAGTAGATTTTTAGCACATCAGTCAGATCTATGTTACCTTAAAATAGAAATTGCAATTCAAGAGGAGGCAGGCAGATGTCTTGTGCATCTGTCAGAGCTTTATTAAGCATCTTATTTAGGCTCAAAATGTATCTGCCTAAATCTAGATGAGGCAAATTCTTCTGATTATGATCTGACAGTTTGTTATTGAACTCAATTGTTTTCAGGAACTTTTCACAGCAATTTCATTCTGATTCTTGAGTAACATTAACTCATGCTCTGTGTAACACATGCTTACCTTGGCTCGTTTCAGATGAACTACCTTATCATTGAAGAAAACGTGGACAATGATCCCTGCAAGTTTGCTCTCATGAGCCGGGAGACATCAGAGAGAGTCATTTTACAGGCAGCTAATGCAGAAATTCAACAAGCTTGGGTACAGGACATCAACCAGGTCCTGGACACACAGAGAGATTTCCTAAATGGTATGTACATGGGCTGTGCTCTGTTTCCCAAACTGTGACATGAAATAGGATTTAGAATCTTTGTGTCTTTGGTCCCTCTACAAGAAAAATATTCAGCAACTTCTTTTCATAAGGGAAATACAAAGCAGAAAACTAGAGCCTTGCAAATCATTAAACATTGGGTCAAGTGGTATCCACAGAGTCCATGGGAAAGAGTCCTCATCATTTACAGCAGGTCTTTGAAAAGAGACCACCTCGGTGCCACTGTACAGAGGACTTTGTCCTGCATACTAGGTTTGCCTGATGAAGGTCAAGGATGGGATGAGTGGCCTGACAAGCCTGATCTAACTACTGTGTGGCCCTGAACCCCCATCTTACAGTAAAGACTGTAGATCATGGCTTGGCTCTGTTAGCAGCACCTTGTGAACTGGTTTTGGCAGCATAATGGCTCCTTGCTTAAACAGATGGTGGGTTCCTGTGCAGTTGCCCTGCATGTGTCTGTCAGGTTCACTGTAAAGTCCTAATCCCTCCATCACGGATGTGTCTCTGATGGTATTTTTGTGCAAGATCCTTTAAAAATGCTGGGGTTTGCAGGACTGTATTGCCTGGTGCTTTCTGTTCTACTGGGAATTGAATCCCCTCCCAAGACCACGTTGAAGCCAAGTTACCATTTTATCTGCACAGTATCTGCCACTAAATCAGAGAAAGGCATATGCTCAGGAACCTCCAATTCAACATCACCATGTCCTATAAGCTGAGGACATGAAGTGGGACAGAGGCTGCCTCACCATCCAAACTAACAGATCCAAACTCTGCAGTGCAGCAGCTGCTTTCAACAAAAAATGAGAGGGCAAGGAAACATCTGGGCTTGTTTTTTCTAGGAACTGTGGGAGCTGTGCATGAACAGGGGCCTTTCCAAAATGTCTGCTTTGCTTTAAGAATAGATCTGGGTTGGTTTGAAATAATATTTTAAATTAAAGAAACAAAACCCACACATAATCACCAGAAGTGTGGATTTTGAAAATAAAGGACTCAAATTCAGTGAACAGTTTTAGCTTGTTCTTGCTCATGAGTGGCTGAGGGGAACCAGGAACAGAAGGGGGAAAAAAAAGTATCTCTTTGTTTGTAAGCAACAAAGTGAGAATCACTACTTTGGAAGCTTCCAAAATTGTTTTGTGCTATTCATTTGAAAACAGTTTTTTATTTTGGTTTGTTGTTGGTTGTTTGGGTTTTTTTAATTGGGCTTATATTAGAAAAGAGTTCTATATTTAAAAACTTAATAGCTGTTCAATAAGGAATCTTACTTGCTTTAATCAAAATGTTTTGGCTTGGCACAATCTGTTAGCTTTTTTGATTTCAGGTTTTGATGTTCTGTTTTGTGGATTTTTTGTTGCAAAAGACTCAGCTCATATCAAAACAAAGGCTCCCTTTTCTTCAATGCTGAGGTTTTGTAGTCTTTTTGAAATTTTATTTTAGCTTAGTTTTAGTTTTCAGAAGTTAACTGGGAAAAGATTGGAGGCAAAAGCTGTTTGTGACAGTTTGGAAACTGTTGTTGAGCTGAGAAGGGAAATTGTTTCACCCATAATTCCAAGACTTGATACTGGATTTTAGTGACTTGGGATTGAAAGAGTCTCATACAACCTCTGTAAAATGGTTCCTTAAGTACATGGATGAGATGAGCGGTCGGGAGTTCTCTGGTTTGACCAGTTGGTACTAAAACATGCCAGTTCTGTGTCAGTGCTGTTGGCTTTGAATGGGAGCTTACTGAAATAAAAGTAAGTCCCAATAATATTAGTTACAGACATTTTTTTAAACCTTGTGAGAACTCCACAGACACCACTGCAGGGGCGTTCTGTCCCTTCTCATCTTTTTTTCTCCTCTTGTCTTGCCAGGACTTAACAGCCCTGTGAGCCCCTTTTTCTACTGAAGCATCTTCATAGCCCCTATCTCTCCTGTCTTCTATGAGGCCAGCAAGGATTTGGTGGGTTAGGAACATAATCATCTGTATCTCTAAAGCTAGAAGTAAAAATAGATTTATATTAAAACACAGGTTTAAGGATTTACTTTAAACCTATAAATAAGATCCAAGAAAACAATCTTGTATCCAGTAGAGCCTGTCCAGTCCAGAACAATTTAAGTGGCTTTTAGCATGTAATCTTATTGAGGCTGACTAATCCTTAAATATGTTCTTTAGCTTTGCATTTCATTAAAGCGGATGTTTTCTGTCTTCAAAATCATATTAAGGCCACACTGAGCCAATGCTGCATAAACTTAATAACAAAATATTCCCTGTGAGTTCTTGCCCAAGCTGTCTCTGTTTTTCTCTCTTAAACAGGGAAGCCCTAAGGAGCACGGGGCTATGTACAAAGCACAGGATTTGCAATTCACTGTTCATAAATACCAAACTTACTGTGATAAAACTAATATTCAAGCTTTTCCTATTTTTCTTTGGAAAAGCAAAAGCTGCTAAACTTGAGAAACAGGCTGTGGACCAAATGATTGGCTCTTGTGACTGTTCTTTCTTTTTTTTTTTAAGGAGCAAGCCATAAAGAAAATATGTCACTGATGGATACATTTCATAAGGAAAACACTATTGAGCTCTACCTTTTTTTTTTGTTTGTGTTTTGTGGAAGTTTTTGAGAGAGAGGGCACCGTGTTTTGCCAGAAGCCCATAAGAATACTAACAGATGTTGAACAGGAGGCTGGAAGCTGTGACAGATAATGCTGGAATTAGTAGTCACAAGTGCACACTCAACTAAATACCCTTTAAAAGCACTGAGTAGGATAGGTTATTTTGAGATAGATTGCTAAGTATTCATTCAGGTCTTACTGCTAAAGACCTTGCAGCCTAATCTGCTCTGTACACTAGAAAAATGTCTTTGTCACTGACAAAAATCTCTGTCAAGTTCTTCCCAACCTTCCTTCTCCTTAATGGCTGATCTGCAGCAGGATTAAACCATTTTCAGCTGCAGTTCAGGTAAGCAAGGGAAACTGGTCATCACTGTGGCAAAAATGCAAATCACTTTTCTGACAAGGGTCACTGCATAAGTTTTGAGCCATGTTTTCTTCCAGATTCCTACAGGTCTATGTTTGTGTCCCTTTGAAGAAATGGTGATCTGGCATCCTCCTTGGTTTTTCATTGGTTTGGGGTTTTTTTAAGTGTCTTGTTCTTTAGTATTAAGCGATTTTTTTGTTGGAGTTGCCCTGCCTTTTTCAGGAAAGGGAGTGCTACAGAGCATGCTGGGTGGTGCTGAGCCATTTTGTTTTTCTTTCCTTTTCCTCTGGTTGGGAAAGACATTCTTCTTGTTGTGGTTCCCTGGTTGGGCTGATGCTGTGACATTATGTCCTCTGTCTGCCTCTCACTCGACTAGTCTCTCTGCATTCCAGTAGGTTTAGTCTGGTGCATGTACACAGTATTCACTGACTATAAATCACCCCTTAAAGCCACATGATATGCAAAAATAAAACCCATAGGTCTGGGGATAGTAGTCTGAGTCTAGCAAATCTGTTCCTTTCCCAGTCACATGCCCTGGTCCCTTCTCCTCCAAACAAAACAAATTCTTTATTTCTTTACAATCTGGCATTTTTATCCTTCATTTTCCCACTGTAAGCTCTCTCCATGACTATGAAATGTACACTCTCATAAGCACACTTTCTTTTTTAAGGATTATGGAGCTGTTTCATGTTGCTTATGGGTATTTTCTGGAGAGTTCTGGACTCCTGGGATTATTGTCTTCATGCTTTCTGCATCTCCTAACTGCTGGTCATTTCTAGCAGTAGCCTTGAGCCAAAGTAGCTCATATAGAAAGCAGAGAAAGACAAGTTGCAGTGCACCATGTCTGAAGAGTAGTATTCACCCTCTCTTGGGACTGCACAAATGAGACTTCCAGGTGTTTTCTGAATATACTGAAATTCACTGTGAATGAGCTGAGCATCTCTCACTCAGGCTTTCATTTATTTTGACTACAGGAGGCAATTAAGTTGTGTGATTGCAAGGAGAATGCAATTCTGTATGGTATGAATGGCAATATTTCAGCCCTCTGTGTTGGTTAGAGAAGCTGTTCTTCACAGCATGGAGTGCTGTGTTCAATTCACATGCAGTGCAATGTAAAACACTTGTGTCCTGTCTAGCCATGAACATGCTCTGTACTTCCAGGGGTGGCACCTCCTGTTCCTGTTTGGTTTGCAACTGATGTCTCTGTTCCATCTGAATCACCCCCCACACCCTGCAGCCCTTTGCAAGGTCACTGAAAGCATACAGCTTATTCTTGTCCTCTTTTGCAGCTCTGCAGTCTCCCATAGAGTACCAACGCAAGGAAAGTAGCACAGCAGTGCTGAGGCCCCAGACCAGCAGGGTCCCTCAGCCCAACAGCAGACCCTATTCTTCTGTTCCAGTAGGGTCTGAGAAGCCTTTAAAGGCTACAACTCGTAATCCATCTCTCCCACCCTTGAAGATATCTACCTCCAATGGCAGCACAGGGTATGAACACTCACAGCCTGGAGACAAGTATGAACAAAGCAAGGTACTGAGCTCATCTGATAAAACATGATCTCATAGCCCTTTTCTTACACCATAGATGATCTGTGAAATTACCTTTAATTATCAGCTAACCAGGCCAACAGGAATCAACGTACTGAAGCAATGGTGTAAAATGTGTTTTGGGATTAAACAGAGCCTGCAAAAACTGGCAGGAGAGCCTGCAAAAATGGCATCTGGATAGGTGCCACTTCAACTGGGCAATGGAGACAGAGCCTGAGCCTGGAGTGCTGATTTCAGTGTTTTTCAGGACATGAATGTCCATCCATTTGCACCACTGGCAGCAGCAATATTCAGGCTTCTCCAATATCCATTAACTACCCATTTCTGAAGAGGTCTGCTTTGATGGCACAGGGAAGTGTAGACTTTTTCCCACATAACAGCTCAGGGGGTGCCAGCTGAAGATCACAGTTTGGGTGCACATGTGCTGCACACAAACCACCAAAGAGTCAGTAACCATCAGCACTGTTTGCACCCTGCTGCTGGCTGCAGTTGACCAAAGCCACTTTCCAATATGACCTATATTTAAGATCATGAGGTGTATGAGTATTCATTCAGCTCCTAATGCTTTGTTGGTCTTCCCTCACTGTCTGGGACACTGTCACTGGCAGCTGTGAAATCTAATATGAAATAGGAGGTTGGTTTGTATCAGATTATCACCACCTTCCAGATCCTTAAAATCCTTTTCTACCAATGTGAACTTACGTGTTTTGTATCTTTTTCCTTGGTACAGTTAGGCTGGAAATGAAGTGGTGGGATTGCTGCTGGAAAAGGCAGGTTCCTCCGTGCCACCTGCTCTCACTGGTTTCTGTTGTGTCCATTTTCACAGACTGATATGGGAGGGTGCAATGGGACCTCTTCCATGGTGGTGATTAAAGATTACTATGCACTGAAGGAGGATGAGATCTGTGTGAATCAAGGAGAGGTGGTTCAGATCCTTGCTATCAACCAGCAGAACATGTTCCTGGTGTACCAGCCTGCAAACGACCACTCTCCTGCTGCTGAAGGATGGATCCCTGGCAATATCTTGGCTCCCCTCACTAAATCCACTACAGATAATAGCGACGGAAGCATCAAGTAAGTGCCATGTTGGCTTCACTGGGAGCACTGTGTGGATTTTTTGAGGAAAAGAAATAATAAATAAAAATAAACAAACCCAAATGGTAGGGAATTCCTGGAACAAGCCGAGTAGTCAAAATCTGCAGCATCGGGCAGCCGTGGTGGATGGCTCGGGTTGTGCTTATTTTCATTTTGTGGGGTTTTGTTTATACTTTGGAGAGAAATAAAACCATAGACTGTTAAAGACATGTTTTATATTACACCATTTTACACCAACATGGACCTGCTTGGACTGGACTTGTATTGAGTTACTAATCTATCTATTGGTTATAACAGCATCTAGCAAAAAACCCAAAAACCCCACAAAAAAAAATCCAGGCCCTGTGTTGGACTGAAGTTTGCTTCTCAAAGAGGAGAGATTTTGTTGTCTATGGCAATTTCCTTGTACAGCTTGTATCTTTTTTTTTATTATTATTTTGATTTGGTTTGGGTTTTTGTTTGGTTTTTTTTGTTTGTTGGTTTGGTTTGGTTTTTTTCTGTTCACAGTAACTTTTGTAATATATTTTTTGGTTTGCAAGACCCCCATGCAAATACATTCCTGTATAAAGTATTTTGCACTATTTAAAAGAAAAAAGAAAAAAAAAAGTAAAAGAAAAAAGAAAAGAAAAGTAAAAAAAAAGAAGAAAGAAACTCATATTGATGAAGTCAGGTTGTGCAATATAATGGATAGTCACAATGTTTATCATTGTACCTGTAATGTAACTAATTTTAAATGTACTATTTTAAATATGTAAAATAAATTTTCACCATGAGCATGTTTTAATGAGGTAAAAGAACTAGTTTGATCCTTTTTTTGGTTTTGTTTTGAGTTTGATTTTTTTTTTTTGTTTATAACATTTTGTTGTTTATTTAACAAATGTGTGGATATATATTTTTCTTTTCTGGTTTTTAGAGATTTGTCAGTCTGAAATGACTAATGCAAGAAAGTGTTTTTTTGGTATTAAATACAGAAGGTACAACCCTCTTTTCAGTAATACCTGTTGATTTCTTTTAACATCTAAAACGACTAGTGGTAATGCATGATGTTTGCTACATGTGAGTACCTCAAGGCACAGAATTGAACATGAGGAAAGATTTTGTGACAGACTGACTAAAAAGAATAATTTGATCTCTGCTGTAGTTTCAGTTAAGAGAAATCATGACTTTACCTGTCAGTCAGCAAGTAATGCTACTATGAATTGCACGTTAAGCCGAAGGAATTGCTTAGCATGTCTCTTGCACATCCGCCGTGGCCATTCCTGGGTTCCTCTCTAACCATGATATTGCAACCACGTGCCCTTACAGTCATCCTGGCACCAGGCTCCTGGTGAAGACTTGATTTCATGGCAGCTGGACAGTCAAATTCCGCATCAAATTATGGAGCTGCATGAATTGTGGCCAGGAAGGCCTCGCAAAATTGAAAGACACAAACATTGCACTTCTCTCTTTCTCCCTGTATTGAGATTTAAAGTCTTAAATCATGTTCTCAGACTCCAGCAGCTGGAGCAACCCTGAAACCAAATACTTAAACAGTAGAAGCCCTATGGGTAAGAAATCATGTAGAGCGGGTGTTATCTTCAGCCCTGTCTAGCCTGCCTCATCATCCAGACTAATTAGTATAAGTAATAAAAGTGCTCTGTTGGCAAATACTGTACACAAAATATGTGGTCAGTCCAGTAGTGTTGGCACCATTCAGTGAGAGGTCAGGGAGTCCCTCAGCCAAGTCCTTGACTCTTCCCATATCTTAAAGGAAAACGTAACAGTGCTGAAGTGTTGGAGAACCTCCCCTGCTCTGTTCATCTAATTTGGACCTCCTCCAGAAACGCCCAAATATCAAACAGCCCTCACAGTCTGGCTGAGACATGCAGGGTGCTCTGGTGCTCCCTGTGCTCAAACATGACCTCCCGTGCCAGCTGTTTGTGGTGGAGACACTAATCCTGGTTGCACAAACAGTTGGTACGACCCAGTTCAGTCTTGTGTCAGTACAGGGAGCTGCGGGGAGGTCAGTAGTTGACTTGTTTGGTTGTTGTTTTTTTTTAATTTGAGCTATTGTACAGCTCCCATCAGGTGCTGAAGTATGACTAAAACCTGCTTAGGAATCAGAGACAGTGTTCCTGGGGGAGCGTCGGCTGTGTGGGGCACCCCTTGAGTCCTACCTTGCTAACACGCTGCATTTTATTGGCATCGCAGGTGATCGTTGGATTACATTTGTAAAATGTATCAAGGTACTGTAGACGTGACATGTGCCAAACATTGGGCTTAAACATGCAAATCAAATTTGCATGACTTCAAGGTGGGCAGATGCTTTGAACCTGGATCCCAGCTCATCACACTGCTGTTTTGAGAGCTTTCTGCTTTGGACAACATACCCCATCCCAAATCTTCCCCAACCTGCCCACTATTTAAACCAAATGAAATCCATATTAAGAACTGGTTTGTTTTTTTCTTTTTTATGTCTGCTTTGATATGCAATTTTTGTTGTCAACACAGCATTGCTCTTACAAAGGGTAACATGTTCTATTACTGGGGGTTTTCTTCCAAGAGAAAGGTCATAGGAGCGGTAATGAGGGATGAAAGGTGTACTGGAAATTGTGCCTGCTCTGGTGCCAGTCAAAATCCATGGACTGACTGATACCCCTTCTAACTGGATTGGCAAAATCAAACAGGAAATTCTTGGCTTTGAGAGGCACAGCGTTCTAGGAAATTACTTACCTCTTGGAAAGTTAATGATGTAGCTCCTATTTGTTGAGCTATTCATGTTCTGAGCAACACCTTGAATTTCTTATTTAGTTTTTTTATTTGCTCAACTGAGTAATCTGTTAAGAACATTCTCCTGTATTTACATTTGTTTCACTGCTTTTAACCAACAATTCTGAGAACCAAACTGACCTCTTCATAGCAAAAATGAAACTAATTTCTATTTGTGGCAAGGCAAGACAAAGTCCCTGAAAACCAGATGACCAAGTTCTAGTTGCCTGCTTCCATCCTGGGCATTTTTTTTCCTGCTCCATTCATTTAAACAGCAAGTGTGGCACAACATCTGCTTTGCAGAACTGTTTGGTTTGGTTTTTAACTTCAATTCTCATTGCTCAGATTGAGATAGCTGTATTGTCGGGTGGCTTTCACCTTCTAGGGATTGCAGTAATGGCAAATGTGGATGCTGGTTCCCCTTTCCAAACCCTTCCTTCCTGCTATGATTTGCCCTTTGACTGCTGCATTTTTTGGTACAACAGGAAGTCATGTTCCTGGCATACCCTGCGCATGAGAAAGCGGGCGGAAAAGGAGAGCAGTGGCAAAAATGAAGCCAATGGGCCACGTAAATCCAAGGATATTCTGGGGAACAAGGTCTCTGTTAAAGTGAGTAGGCCATCTGAAAGCTGTGTGCTGCTCTCCTGCTTCCCATCCTTTTCACCCCCTACAGGATCCTGTCCTGAGAGAAGGAGGGGATGGCAATTTTGGGTTTGCTTTTTGGGTTTGTTTGGGGGTTTTTTTAATTATTTTTTTTTCCACTTTAGTTATCTCTTTTTTTTTTCTTTTTTTTTTTTTTTTGTAGTACCCATTTTAGCAGGATTTTTGCATGCAAGATAAAATGCAGCCTTTGTTTTTCATTTTCTTTTTCCTGGCATCCCATGTGCAAGTAAGTAATCGTCATAAAAAAAAAAAAAAATAAACCACCAAAACCTCCCACCTATATATAAGTCCTGAGAGAAGGAGGGGATGGCAATTTTGGGTTTGCTTTTTGGGTTTGTTTGGGGTTTTTTTTAATTATTTTTTTTTCCACTTTAGTTATCTCTTTTTTTTTTCTTTTTTCTTTTTTTTTTTGTAGTACCCATTTTAGCAGGATTTTTGCATGCAAGATAAAATGCAGCCTTTGTTTTTCATTTTCTTTTTCCTGGCATCCCATGTGCAAGTAAGTAATCGTCATAAAAAAAAAAAAAAATAAACTACCAAAACCTCCCACCTATATATAAGGTTTAATAACTGCTCTTAAAATCAGGACAACAGTGATTTCCTGACCTCCAACCTATCCCAATCTGCAGCTCCATGAGGGCAGCTGCAGCAGTGAGAGAGAGAGCTACAGGGTGAAAAAAGGACTTTACTGAGGTTGATGAATTTTCTTTAGGCCAGTATTTCACCACATCTTAAGGGGTTCTCAACCTTGAAATGCCTAAGTTTTTATGTCTGGGGAGATGGTCTCAATGACCTTTTTCTTTCCATGTTAACAGACAGGGAAGAGATGCTGATTGGTCTTGCCAGGAAAGGGTTTTGTGTGTGTCTGTATGTGTGTGCGTGTGTCTGTGTCTGTCTCTCTTTCTCTGAGATCTCCCAGTATGGAAAAGGTTGAGAACTGTGGGGTTAAGCTCCATCTTCTGCTCTGGGTGCCTGACTTCTGTGCTCCAATTCAGAGGATCCATCCCTATAAACCGACCATGAGGCCTGCTCAGGACTCACCTGGGGCTTTCCCTCCCAGCAGAGGCAAGCAAACCCTTGGTGTGATTTTGACACAACCAAAGCCCAGCCTTGATTCAGGAAAGCACTTGAGCATGTCCTTTGGATCCACCCCTCTCTAGGAGAGCCCACAATTAAGTGTTTTCCTTTGTAGAGGCTTTCTGTCTTCTAAGCCTAGTGAAATAGCCATGGCATGTGCAAAGGGAGGAGCCCTGCTCCTCGCACCCACCCTGCAGCCAGCTGGGGAGGGCTGGGCCCAAGGGAACAAATTGCTCCAGCATGGTGGCCACAGTTCCTCCTGTTGCTTCCTTGCTGGTTTTACTACCTAAGCAACTTGCAGAATCACAGCTGCTTCTCTGGCAAAAGCATGTCTTTGCCTTTGCTTCCCTTGTTTTGTTGTCAGTTTGGTTTTTGTTTCCTTTTTTAAGAGCATTTTCTGGACTGTTATCCATTTCCATGCTGCTCATAACTCCTGTGCTGCTCTGCCCTGTTTAACCAATCTCTCTTTTAATCTCTTGTTCTCTTTCTTCCTCTTCATGCTGCCAAACAAGGAGACAAACAGCTCAGAGGAATCAGAGTGTGATGACCTTGACCCCAATACTAGCATGGAGGTAGAGACCATCATCCTTGTGATTTTAATATTTTCTTTCCAAGAACATGTGCCTGTTTTGAAATGCCTTTGCTAAAAGGGGGGGTGGGGGTGGGTCTGTATCACTCCTGGACATATGTGCCAATTAAGTGTGAGTCACAGAAAGCACCAGTTCTGGTTTTACCAAGTGTTGAACTGGAGTTCAGGCTGTCTTTGTGGTGGGAGCAGTGAAGGAAGCTGAGGAACAAGCTCCTGCTGAGCTGGAGGCTCACGTGGCCTCCCTCAGTCACTGTTTCCCACCTGGCACCTCATTCAATGAAACAATAATGCCTGCTTGTCAACTGCTGATAAACATAGCAGCTTTCTACATGAAAAACACCCCTTGTCCTGGCCATACATGCTGAGCTGCTAGTCAGGCCTGTGTTATAAATCACTGGAGCAAACACTGTCACACCACAACTACTGCTTTAAATTATCTAGATCAGAAAAGACAACTTTTCTTTTTTCTCCTAGCAGAGTGGAAAATAGTATTTCTATAAAGGTACTGAAGGAGAATGGCTGCATGAATGTACCTGTGTCACAGAAGATAGGTGGACCCAAATTACGACACATTACTCTTTTTCCAGAGTGAAGCCACCAGTTTTAGTGGCATGACCCAAGACGTGTCTTACTGAGAGAGCCCCAATGAGAGGAAAAAAAGAGAATTGTATTGACATGCACCATCTCAACAATTAACCTGAAGGCTGTCTTTTATTTTAATTGTGTTGGGTCAAATAAAGCATCTTTGAGAAGGGGGTTTGTACTACAGGAAAGCTTTTGACGCAGCTGACATCCCAGAGATTGATCCTTACCACTAAACTGTGTTATTCTGAGGAATGTGTTTGCCTTTTCAAAGAGCATTTGCCAGTTACAGCTAACAACTAGAAGTATATGTATTTGTTACAAGGCTGTGCCCAGTTATTGCGTGTAAGTCTGTATAAGCTTTAGATCACTGAAGAATGATCTACCTGTAGAGTAAAAAGTGGCTGAGACAAAGGTGTGTTGTACAGAGCTGAGTGAGGATCACCATGCTTTTTGCAGAGGATTTCTGTGTTTTGACTTTGCTCAAAGAGAGGAAAACCAGATGGTTTTGAATTGTCAGTGAAAAGTGTCTGAGTCCTTACCCTGTTGGCATTTCTAATTGGTTCTAGCATACTCTACATGGGTCTGTTGGTTTGTTTGATTTGGGTTTTTTACCATGGTACAGTCTACTGTTGTTGCCTGCCTCTCTGCTGCTCAGGAGATAAAAGCCTTTCCATTTAAACCAATCACTGACATGAAGTTTTATCTGTGGTATGAATCTGCTTTTGGGGAGTAACTTTGTGCCTTCTGTGTGACTGGATTTACACTCAGAAACCCCCTCCTGTATCTTACAGGTCACTTACAGGAGGTGACAATGTCACTGCACCACAGCCCCCAGGAGCCACAATGTTACTCATGTCTTGGAAAGCTCCATTCTGCTTCTGAGCAAAACTCTTTGGGGCTGAGCAAATATTTAAAATGGCAAAGGGAGAGTTGTGGGGGTGACTTACGAAGGTCACACTGCCCTGCAAGGAGCACCATGGCCCTCACATTGTGCTGGTTTTAGTACATCTGCAGCCTGGAGTGAATGTGGTCAGCTCATTGGTCTGGCAAAGAAATACTGGGGGGGGTAGGAGGGATTGCTGATACCCAGTATAAACTAAACAAAATCATCCAGAGAGAGAAGAGCAAGAGCTGGCTCATAAATGCCCAGGAAGCCCAAGAAGAGGCCATGGGAAAGTCTACTCTGTAAAGATCTGGGGTATTCACTACAAGAAGCCACAGTTGATCTCCCTTGCCCTTCATTATGAGTATTTGGATGCTCCTTTTCAAATGTGTTATGAGAAATTAACTGTATTAAGCCCTTGGGAGCTAGAGTCTTCTCTCATTAAAACAGAGGCAAGGCAAGATACTTCCATTGCCAGAGCCTGGTTCAGGACCTCATCACTCTTTTAGGCTTTGTGTCCTAGGCTTAAATAATTGGTAAAGATGCTGTGCTGCCCCTCCATCCCAACCTGTGTGCACACTGCAAATCAGTATCTCACCTGGTTTTCCTTTCCATTCTCCATATGGTACATCCCAGCAGAGCTGCTGGCTAGCTCCCAGGTGAGCTGGAGGCAGTGTGACTGGCTGTCCAAGGAGGGGGAAGACTGTCCTCACACCTGGCTTAGCTCATGACTAATTTTAAAAACACTGGGAGTGCTGGTAGGAGAGCTGTGTCCTGGCCACCAACATTCAGAGGTGCTTGAGACCCTCCCTGTGTCATTAAGATGGAGTCATCAGCAGCTATTATTTCAGCCAGATAATAGCAGGGCAGGTCACCTGGCTTCTTTTACAGGGCTGTCACCCCTGACGTCCCTTTTCCTCCCATCGTGCATGAGAACATACACCCTGTGCTGGAATAGAGAGAGCAGCCTCTAAATGCAAAGCAGCCATATTAATTACTTGGAAAAGTCAGTGCAATTTACCTCCAGCCTACTCACACTGCACAAGAAGTTGGTTACGCTGGTTGCATTATCCATGATGTCCCACAGCTGCTGTGGCCTTTCAGACCTGGTTTTGCTTGTTATTTATAAAGTACAACATATCTGTTCAGTGGAGTCCAGTTTTCTGAAGCACTTTGTTTTGTTTCAAGGGGCAACAGATGGAAAGAAATGATGCAGAACATACATAGTGAGAGCAGGACACTGAAATTCTGAGTGACTGTTTAAAAGAGCTAAAATGTAACTACTGTATTTTTGCCCACATAGAGACATGGAGAACTGGCCCTGGAGAATGTTCCATTCATTGTAGCTTTGATTAGAAATAGTATTGCTTCATGTTTGTTCCTTTTCTCTTTGTTTATCAGTCTGTAATGGAAGTGTGTAAGGAGGGAAATGAAATATTATCTCCTGGTTTTCTGCTTTGCTCTGTTCTTTCACAGAACAGAAGGTGCAAACTCACCTGCTAGGCATGGGAGTGCAGGAGCAGGCACGTAAGGAGCATGTGCAGCCACGTGAGGGGTAGGAGTAACCTATATTTAGGAAAGATTGGAAACTGCCTTTGCACATGTCTGTAGCTAATTGCACAGGGACAGGCAGCTCTGCTTCTGGGAAGAAGGTGTTTACCTTGTGAATCAGTAAATACTATCCACACCCAAGTCTGAGGTCCTGGACAATGACATAACTAATTGTCCTACTATTCTGTGTAGTAACATCTCATGTGGTTTCAATATAGCTGAAGGGATCATAAGTCAACTCTGTAAATCCCATCAGGCTACCTCTCTTGTCCAAGTGAATGTCCTTCCAGCAGTCAGAAGACCTGACTGAGCTGAACCTCCCTAAATTCAGCAGCAGCTCCCCCGGGCTTTGGGGTGGACCTTTCATGTAGGGATCTGACATGAGTCCAGATGTCTTGGTTCACAGAGCACAACTCCAACTGCAGTGTGTTACCAGGAAGCCTGAGCAACTCCCAACTGTCACCCCATGTCTAGGGTTTGTTCCAGTTCCTTAGCTCTGCAAAGGAGAGATGAAGTCCAGGCCCACCCCAAGTCAGTGGAAGTGCCATCATTAGATTAGTGAGCTGGGGTATTGCCAAGGAACTCAAGTCAGGTTTCGTAATCTGTTTTTTTCAGTTATGACATTTTAGCATGTGAAGAACTACTCAGAGACACTTAGAGCTAGATAAGCACTAGGAAACATATTATAGGGAGGAATATTGTGTTAGCAGCCCCACACTCCAAGCAGTTGAGTAAGTAATGGTTTGGTGGCTACAGCCTTGGCTCCAAGTCAATGCTCAGCTCAGGCCAAGAATTCCCAAGTGCTTTAGGCAAATGCCTTCACCCCCTGCCTTTGGCCATCCATCTCCAGAGCAAATCTAACATACTCCCTTTGCAAGGTCTTGTACAGTACTGGTAAGAGAGCCTTTCCTGGCCTGGCACCACAGTATGAATGAGTGCAATCCTGAGAACCTCCTTTGTTTCTCTGGGCTGGTATCCATGGGCAATACTACTCTCCTGCTGCCCTGAGTGGCCAGGGATTGCTGAGAATGACTAGGAAGGTGGCTCATCCGGTGTGATAGTCTGAGCTGGCAGTGGAGGCAATATCATTTAGCTTTTGGGAGAGGAAGAAGTGACCTGCTTTATCTGCAGGAAGAAGGTAGAGTGCCACAGCGAGGTGCTGGAGTACCACAGACATCCCATGGCTGCGTCCCTTGGAGCACACCAGACATTAGGACCTTGCAGGGGGAGTTTGACATGGGGAAGAGGACTTCTGTGTGACAAGAATGCAGTTACAAAAGTCAGCATCCCTTATGGCTTCTCTATCAGTCTCAAAGGCAGCTGAGTCCATCCATCCTGAGAGCCAGAAGGCATCCCCACTCCCCACCCAAAGACTGCTGCCATAGGATCATCATCAGCAGCTGCCATTCTCCCATCTTCAGTTATTTTTTCCCTTTGGCAGATCTGTCCACAAGTAGTGGGATATCAGGAAATCTCTCTTGTTAATTTGTGGATTTTAGGAGGGGCTGAGGGGAGCACTGTGAACTTGTTCCCCTAAAAGTTTCAGAGAAAAAGTTGGCTTAATTCCTCTGTAACTAATTTCTTTTTTTTTTTTTTCCATTTCTGAGACTCATTAATATTTATTTTTTTGAGTGAGGGAGCAATGAACATGCTGCTGACTCTGCTACCAGCATGTGCAAATGCATCAATATTTTATTTTAGCCTGAGGAAGAAGAAGTGCCATAAAGTGTTTACAAAATGCTGAGTTGTTCGCCTTGGAGTAAACATGCCCTCTACTGTTTAGCTAAAGCATGGACCTTGTTACTGAGGGCTTGGTTTGCAGCCTTGCCTTATGTTTTGGGGGAAAAACTATTCTTGCTCCTGTTTTTGATGCAGTCCCTTCAAATGCTACTGCAATGTGGCACTGGAAAAATCCAGGCACCCACTGTCCCCTTCTGTGCACTGCGTGTGTCTGGGCTGGGCTCACACCTGCTTTGGGGAGGTGGGTTAGACATGGTGAGGGCATCTCTGCCACAGAGAATCAAGCCCTGGCCAGGGCCAGAAGCCCTTGCAGGCAGCAGAGCTGTGATGCAGAGCCTTTCAAGCCTGGCTGTTGGCACTGCAGGATGGTTCCTGCTTCCCAGCAGACACAGTGTGTAGAAATGAAAGACAAGCTCTTGCTAAGAATTAGGGCAGTCAGAGTCACTTTGCAAGCAGGCTTTGCTGCTCCTGCTGCAGATGCCTTTCTATCTTTATAACATGAGCTTAACAAACCAGGAAAAATGGGGCCCAGTGTTGCAAAATCATGAGTGGCTGGATGCAGCATCTGTGCTGCTTTTTTAAAGCCTGGCTCTTACACCCTCTACATGACCCCTTTTCTTTCTCTAAAGATGCCCTGCAGTAAAGAAGCTAACTAAAAATGTGGCAGAACATGTCTGGAAACCTGGTGGCCTAGTGCCTGGGCCCTTTTGTGGGTGTTTACTTAGATATTATGGGTGAGCTTGGCGATAACATCCACATCCTGGTTTTGCAAAAAACAAAACAAAACACCAAAAACATTTAGATCCTAAGTTGCTTTGATCCTTGCAGGTCCCCAAAGGCATTCAGTTATGCACCTCGTGTGCTTTTCTTGGTTTGAGCCCTGACACAGCACAGGCTGGAGAAGGGAGAAGCAAGGTCTGCTTCTGGCTTTTTCATTGAATAACCCTCACCCATCTTCCCAGTTCTTTATCTCAGCCCCCTTCCCTCCAGCTCCCTGTCTTTGCCTGGTCAGCATTAGACCCCACGTTACTCCAGCAGAGGCCATTTCATGGTCTCTCCTTGTCACCTCGTGCGGGTTTTCTCGTTTTAGCCATCATTGTATCAGCAGCAGAAACTCTCCTGCTGGCAGAGGGAGTGTTGCAGGTTTTCACCCACACTGGGCCAGTCCACGGGTACTTCATCCAACGAAAAAAAGACAATCTGTCTCATTTCAACTAAATTTATATTTCTAGAAGAAACAGGCAGTCACGTTTCTTACCTGAGAAGTGAGTGCATTGCTGACCAAGTTTCATCCCTTAGGATTTGTACTTGCCTGATATGGACCAATACAGAAGGTGGTGTGAGAAGTTTTTGGGTTGGGTAGTTCCATCTCCAAGGTTTGCTCCCTCACAGGCTGGGCTGGCAGCTCCTGTGGTGCAGGTGGTGTTTGCTGGGATTTCTTCAGGGAGCCCTTGTCAGCGTGAGGCCCCAGGTCACCTTGTGCATCTCGTGGCTGCCATGGCCAGGGGTGCTGGGCTGTGAGATCCTCCTTCAAATCACTACAGACTGAGTGGGGCTTCAGGGCTGAGCCTCATGATGTTTTTCAGATAGAAGAAAAGTGAAACTCCACAAAAGTCATGTAACCAGCAGCATGTCTTTCCACCTGGTAATCTTGAGGAGTGCAGAGTATTCCCTGAGCGAGTGATGTGCAGAAGCTGGGGATCCTGCACCAACCCCATAAACACCATCACTGCTCTTTGCCTTGTGTAGGACCTCCTTGGGGCAAGCAGGGGCTTTAATACAGGGGAAAATGTGCTTGAGAGGGCCATCTTTCACCTTCTTTTCTCTGACAGGAGAGTCCCTTGGATTTGAAGCCCACTGTGTTGCCCATGTGAGCATCTCTGGCAGCACCATGTGCCATGGAATCCATGGAATCATAGAATAGTTTGAGTTGGAAGGGACCATAATCCCCATTTCAGTGCACAGCACCTCTCCCTGCTCACCAGCAGCCCATCCTGAGCCCCTTGCTTACAGGGATTTCTGCTCTTCAGAGCAATGCAGTCCAGCTTTCACCTTTCTGTGAAAGCCCTGAGAAAGAATAATTGGGAAGAGTTTCTTGCATGGTATCTGACAGATTTTCCAGTTTTTTGCACATGCCATCATTTTCAAGAGGCTCTGGGAGATGCTTGGCAAGTTCATCCATAAGCAAAACCAGCACCAGCAGGAAGCTGGGCAGACAAGTGGTACATGAGTTCCAAGGGCAGCAGTGTCACACGCTGGTGAGACCTCCCAGGTCTGTGGTGACTGCAGGGGCTGTGTGACCTGGGTCTGGGGCTTGGCATAGGGGAGCACAAACCACCTCCAGCAAGAAAGGAGTTAATGGCTTGAGCATCATCACCCAATCAAGGAGAAAGCAGGTCCCCCTTCCTCAGCCCCAGTGTTGTGCCTGTTGCCTGTGGTGCCTTACTGGAGTTCAAGAAGCCATAGTTTTCATTTACGTCCCCAGGTGTGCACAGGCTTGTTCAGTTTTCACCAGAAATTGCTGTGTCTGCCTGTTGTTAGAGATTGCTTGTAGCCACTGGTCAGTGCTTCTGCAGTTCTTGTCAGGCTCACCACAGTACCTCGAGAAACCAGATGTCTCTTTGTCACTGTCCAGAAAAAATAAATGCTTTTATTTCTTTGTATTTTTCAGATAATCAACCCCAATTTCATTCAAGAAGGTGAGTTAAGGAGAGCTGTGCACTGACTGGCATGGAGGGGCAAGTCAGCAGCTGTGATCTTGAGTGCAACAGCACGGTCTGCACCCACCAGCACCTACAGCAAAGGCAGCTCTGATGCTCAGCAGGGGCTGGTGTGCTCCCCAGGGAAAGGAGTCCTGCTGGGTGCTCATCTCACACAGCCCAGGGCTGCGGGCAAGGCTGAACCCACCAAACCTGCCTTCATAGAGTCTCACCCTCCTGCCAGAGCACAGGACTGGGGGGTGGACAGTCCCCACTACCTCCTTCACTGAGCTGCTGACAGTTGCCTTTTAGTGAAGGGGGAGTTTTGGTAACGTAATCCCTGGGCTCCCAGTTGCTTGGGACCCAGACCCCATAGTTGATCCTATAACATATTCTCTAGACTTTGAGGAACATCCTCAGTTGAAGGTTAAAATAAGGTGTCATGTGTGCGTCCTCATGTGTTTTGTTGGGTTTTTTTCAGTGGCTCCCGAGTTTCTTGTGCCATTAGTGGACGTCACATGCCTGCTTGGTGACACTGTGATGCTGCAGTGCAAAGTCTGTGGGCGGCCCAAACCAACAATAACCTGGAAAGGACCAGATCAAAACATTCTTGACAATGACAACAGCACAGCCACTTACACGGTGTCATCTTGGTAAGTTCCTCTTTGGATCCCAGCACAGCTGGTCACGATGGTCATGTTGCCCAGCCAGGTTACAAGGCTCATCAGAAATGCAGTTCAAGTCTGGCAATGTGTTCTGGCACGTCACTGCACCACACCTTGGCTAGAAAGGATCAGACTTTGGGGCTTGGGTACTTCTGTAGCTTCCCAACCTGACACAGGCTACATCCACAGGGTGTTGCTGGAAGATGTGAGTTTGCTCCAACTGAGCTCCTGAGCCAGCTGCAAGCTGGAAGCAACTAATGTTTCAAACATATTTGTTTGGCTAATATTGCCTCCACATTGCTGGGGCTTCTCTGCTTGAGTTTGAAGTCATGCTTACCTTTGTTAGGAACAGGAGCTGAGCAGAGCAAACCCTCACTTGGGCACTTCCTTATTTCATGTGCAGAGGTGTTAACTCCTGCAGTTTTCCTGAGCCTTTCCTTAGCTGTTCCTAAAAGTGCCTACATGTGGTCTTGGGAAGGCTAGCTGTGCTTCAGCAGAAAGATGCTGTTGTGATGTTCCCAGCCCCGACAGGGGGAGAAAGATCTGAAAAGATCTGGAGTTGAATTCAGGTCAGGTAACATCCTGCTGCTGGATGCTCTTCTGCAGTTTGTATAAGCAATTTCAGCCAAACTGCAGTGGAAATCTCTGGGAGGCAATGTTTCATGGGAACATTTCAACACTTCTGGCACAGGCTGAGATGAATTCAGGGAGCACAAAGTCAGTAGGAGTGAAAAATGAACACTAGGAGAGAAGAGATTTTTTATGTTCAATTAAAAAAAAAAAAATCACATCTGATCATGAGTTTCCTTCAGAGACCATTGGTTTGCACAGCTGCCCCAGAGCACCCAAAATTGTCTTTTTAGCCATTACTCAGTAGATCACTAGTGCCTTATCTTCAGGCTTCTGGCTAGAGTTGGGATGGGGAGATATTTCCTTACAGGGTTCTGTTTTCCATCACAGTCTTTCATCTGTGCATTGGCTCCCTGCACATTATCAGCACTTGTATTGTCTCGTTACTCATGTTTGTTTTCCAGTGAAGACACTGCCTGCCAAGGAGAGGCCCAGCAGAGTGTGGTTGTCTTAGAAATCTTGCTGGCATGAGTGTCCTGATTGCAGGGAAAGGGATATTTCTGTCCTGTTTCAAACCAGCATAGTTAGACTAGGAAAAGCCACAGTGTCCAGGCAGTTATGCTGGTAACCGTGTCTGTCCTTCTGAAGTTTCTGACAGGTGATGCATTCAAGAGGTACTCTAGTTTTGCCATCAAAGAGAGTTGTAGTTTGTTCTAAGCTGGGTCTTCAGTGCAGCTAAAGCAGTTGCACATGCAAAATCCTTTAATTCAGGCCAACTCCCTTAAATTGCATGTTGAAGACTGCAATGTGCAAACTGAAGAAACTGTTTACAGACCTGCTAGAAATTCATTGGACTCTGTAGAGCAGCTTATTTGGTCAGATTGGCCCAGAGATTGAGAGGCTTTCACAAACTTGGTGCTAGTTCTTCATCTTTAGCTGTTGTGAGATGTCCATCCTTCTGACCAGAGGCCTGGCAGCCAAGTAGCTCAATGGAAAATTCTCCAGGGCTCTGAAGCTCCCCAGAGATGTCAGGCACCCTGCACTGTGTCACCACCTTTTGCCTATGCAGGAAGCTCAATTTGTCGGGCATGTGTTGGACTTCCCTGCAGAGGCACAGCAGCTCAGCATCTCCCAAGGTAGGAAAGCTGTGCCTAGAGATATCTTTCCAGATATAAGGAGCCTAAGCATCCAGCTCTGAAGAGGCAGAGCAAATATTCAGCTCCTAGGCTTTGATTTCTGCTTGAGTGATCCTTCCCCATCTCCTCTGAGGCCACAGCAGACAAGTAGATTTGCCTGGCAATCAATTTGGACCATTCTGCTTGAAGGTTTCATTAACAGCCTAACCCTGGAGGGTTGTACTCAGGTATGGGATAGCTGAGGGGATGTTCCTGCAAATGACTTAACAGGATTCGTGTGCACATGTGTTTGTAATGAGGCAAGACAGGAACTGGTATAAAAAGCATTAGCAAGGACAGCAGCACTTTATCATGGGGCTTCCTAAATCCACAGTGACTCTGGGGAGCTCACCTTGAAGATCTGCAACCTGATGCCTCAGGACAGCGGCATTTACACCTGTGTGGCCACCAACGAACACGGGACCGCATCAACCTCTGCCACCATCAAAGTTCAAGGTAGGATATCTGACCTTCACCTGCAGGATTTTTCCTGCACAGTGTCCCTTGGTGGGGACTGGCAGCACACAGGAGTAGCCAGGGCAGAGGCAGCCGGATGTGGAGCTGTGCCAGGTGAACTGAGATGTGAAAATCACACTGTTCCTCAGCCAAGACTCCCACTGATGGCTGAAGGAACTGCAGACTCCTGGTGCTTGATTAAGTCGTCTGATCATAAGCATCACATCTGGGAAATGAAAATGCATTGGCAGTGGTTCAACTCCTGCATCCTGCTCACAGCACTGCTTCCCAGGGGCTCAGTAAGGTCAGCCGGAGGAAATTGAGCTCCCTCAGGCTACCCAGCCCCTGGGGACATGACACCCCAGCTGCCTACAGGGAGCTCTGGGCTTTAGCCTGTGCCTGGACTGAGGGGACCTGTAACCAGTGATCCTGATTTTCAGCCTCCCCTTCTCTGTGTGGGACAGAGGAGGTAAAATTAAGGCTTGGCCTGGATGAACGGTTCTGTAGGGATTCAACTGAGATACTTGTCTCTGAGCTTGAATTCTCAGCACTGTAATCAGTGACCCATCTAATTGTAATGAATATGAAATGATGAGCTGATGTTCATGACCTCCAGCTCTGGGAAGGGATCTGTTAGCATGAGAGATGAGGGGCACCTGCTGTGTTGAAGGGGATGGCACAAAGATGAATGTCCAACTGGGGACTTGCAGTGGTAGGAGTGTCACAAGCATTTAGAAGTTGATTTGTTTGGTCTCACAAACTGCCTTAGAGATATAATTTCCCCAATTTATCCAAGCAAGTTAGTGGCTGCACTAACTGTTCCTGTGCTGAAGGGAGCCCTGAGCAAAACACAGAAGAATTATCTGTCATTTGTCAGTCTGCTGCCAAAGATATCAAGCACCATACACACAGAAGAACTGTAAGTGACTTTCTCATGTAATTTTTTGACACTTTGAGGTGACTTCCAACCTCCAGAACCTCACTCGCTGCTTGGTGAATCCATGGGAATATTCATCTTCCTCAGTTTCATGGGCTTTGCATCAGGTCTTGAACTAAAAATTAGGAGCAGAGGGTAGCAGGTAAAGAAGCTCTGCCATTACAGCAGCCAAGTTCAGATAGACCCTCTTCACCCAAGGAGTGATTCTCCCAGCTGTCCTCAGGGGGAGCTTTCTAGGGCATCACAGTCCATTTGACCACCAACTGTGAGCAAGAAGGAACTCCCCCTGTGCTGTGAGACCATGTTAGGGCAGCAGGGCTTACAAGTAGCATGATTCTCTCCTAGCTGGTAGTACAGAGGTGCCAGACACACAGTGGTAGGTGGATGGGACTGTGACATTGCCCTTCCTCTGGCTGTGCTGATAAGGCAGTGTAACCCAGGGTGCTGTGCCAGCCCATGCAGCTGCCCCATAGCGACCTGATGCACCTGATCTTCAGACAAAAGCACTAGTGCTTGTTGACATGATGCTGAACTTGGTGCTTGTTTTCCCTTCCCAAGGTGTCCCAGCTGCCCCAAATCGCCCCATTGCTCAGGAGAGAAGCTGCACCTCTGTGATCCTACGCTGGCTACCCCCGTCCAGTACAGGCAATTGCACCATTTCAGGATACACTGTGGAGTACAGAGAAGAAGGTAAGTGGTTTGAGCTGAGCTTGCTGACTGGGCAAATGAGAACAAAGTCTCCTTTTTGGCACAATAGATCCCAAAAGTATCCTTGGCACTAGCATAACTAGCCCTGAACTTACTGAAATAAAATTAAATGTTATATATTCTTGAAAGAAATCATAGGCTGTGATAGGGTTCAGTGTCCCAGGGGTCCTTTTCTGCTCTGTGACCCTGTGCAAATGAATTACTCCTTTGGATGCCACAGGTTTGGCAATGTTCTGTTAGGAGCAGAAACACATGACAGAGTCACACATTGCTGCAATCCTGCTACTCTGCAAAACCTCAGAAAGCTGGTTCTCCTGCAGCTTCAGGTTTCATTGTAGCCACCACGATGTCTGAAGAACACTTTATCTGCAAAAGCACTTGGATTGCTCAGTTGCCCTGTCTCAGCTTCATCTGGGACTCCCTTGTCCATATTGTTTTCTTCAGTATTTCTGCTACTGTTTCTCTCATAGCAGAGCTGCCATCAAATCAGCCCTCCATTCCTGTCTTATCACACTGCCCTGAGATGTCACTTGCAGCACAGCCACGGCTGGACTGCTGGAGAGATCAGCTTGTCCCTGGGCTGTTTTTTTTCCATCGCTATCAGTCAAGTGAGGGGCATTTCCTTCTTCCCTCGTTTAGCCAGACTGGAAGGTGGCTGCAACACCAAATAGCTTCCTGTGGGCCAGCTCTGGTTTACCAGACACGTCAGGCTGCTGTACTATTGCCTCTTACAAGCCCTGTGGCTTTTAACTTCACAGGGCACTGCATGAGTTGGGCACAGAATATCTCTGCTCTAAGTCCACGTGTTGAGACTGATTCCTTCATCCCTCCTTCTCTCCCTGTGTAAAATGCAGGCTCACAGATCTGGCAGCAGTCAGTAGCCTCAACTTTGGACACGTACCTCGTCATTGAGGACCTGTCCCCAGGCTGCCAGTATCAGTTTCGAGTGAGTGCCAGCAATCCCTGGGGAATCAGCTTGCCTAGTGACCCATCTGAATTCGTGAGGCTCCCAGAGTACGGTGAGTGTGCACGGCGAGGAGGGGCTGGTGTGCACAGGTGTCCACCTGTGCGGTCTCTGCTTTGATGGGTCCTGATCAAAACTGATCCTGGAGCTGGCAGGAATACAAGAGGAAGCCTGGCAGAGGCTCAGAGCCAGCTCCTGCCACTAGCAAGGCTCTTCCTGTCTGCTCCTCCAGCAGGGCTCACAGCCTCCCTCTGTCACAGAAGCTGGTGCAGTTTCCTAGCAGGTCCCTTCTTTCTATCCCAAGACCGTTCCTTGTCATTATCTCTGGGCAACCAGCTCTGTATCCTGCCTGGTATCCCCCTGCCTTCCCAGCAATGCTGGCAGCACCAGGGGCTTCTGCTGGGCAGCCCAGCTGGGGTCTGCATGTCAGCTTGCCAAACCCACCCCTCAAGCAGTGCAGCCAGGATAGAAGGCTGCGACAGAGGGGAACACCCAGCACAGTCCTGCAGGAGTTCAGGACAGCGCTGACCCAGGACAGAGCTTTGAGCAGAGCTCACGTGTCCCCATGTTTCAGCAGCTCTGGTGCGTAAGTAGGTCTGTGAGTGGCTTGGATAGCCAGTGCTGGATGAAACCAGAGCACACACAGCATAGCTGTACCTCCCAGTTACACACAGACATGCCCTCAGACTGTCTGTGTGGCCCTCTTCAGTCCGAAGCTGTAAGGACAGATTGGAATACACTTTATCCATCCCTTGCTCTGGGGAACTCTGGCTTTTAGTGGCCCAACACGTTGGAGCTGTGCCTGAGCAGTATGAAACTGGACTCCTACTGGTAATGTTTGCTGGTTTAAGTAATATAGTCTCACATAATTTTAAAATATGCTGTTTATACTACTTTAACATATATATGTTAAAGACAGAAAACTGTCTTTAACATTATGCTTTTTTGAATGTGTTTTGTTCTCTCCAAGACTCTGCTGCTGATGGTGCCACTATTTCATGGAAGGAAAACTTTGACCTTGCTTATGCAGAGCTACATGAGATTGGGAGGTAATATTGACCCTGCTTATCACTGCAATAAAACACTGAAACAATGGCTTGAAGCTTTTCCCTTGCAGGAAAGTTTAGGTTGCTTTTCATAGTTAGCTTGAAAACTGCTGCTCTTTTCAAAGAGTGTTGCACAGTAATTAATGAATAAAATACAGAGAGCTTAAAACACTGACTAAATTTTGTTTTTCAAGATTAGTTGGGTTTTGAGGATTGGAACTTAGCAAATTTGTGGACAATTAGGCAGCCAAATCTCTGACAGCCACTGGTAGCTCATGCTGGTGTCATCTCTGTCTAATGTGAGCTTTTGAAGTCATGACAGTTTGCTGGTTCTGGATAAGCTTAATCTTAAGGACTGAGTTTGCAGAAGCACTTAAGCAGGTGAGTGACTCAAATGACAAACCAAAGGGCTTTGCTGACTGAGACAGTGACTTGAACAGGAGCCTATATACTGGCTGCATATGCTGCCAGACCTCTCTGGACAGGCAACAGATAAAGGGGCATGCAAACAATTCAGGTTAATGCAGTTAGTTCTTCATCTCAGAGATCAGAAGCAAGTAATTCTGGGGCTGAAAGGATAGGAGTCCCTGTGGTTGTGTAGGAAGAAGAGTGATAAATTAATTAGAGGCCAAGCACATGGTTTCACTGAGTAGTTTTACTTTCAGGAATGATACTAGGCACTACTCTTTATGAGTTTCCTAAATGCTTTCACACCAGCTTTTTTTGTAATTTCTTACTGTGTGCCTGAAACAGTGAGACAAAATGATTCCATAGTGATTATTTAACAAAGCTTTTCTTTTAGCTGTCTGAGAAAGTTTGGGCTCTTTATTAGAGCAACTGGAGACCCACAGGTAAAAAAAGAGACAGAACCTGTCTAAGTGGCAACAAATTGAACCCAGGGGAGGTTGTTAGAGGATAGCATTGTGGCAGCAAAGTGACACTGTTTGCTCTCAGTGTTTGCTAATCCCCAAAGAATCTCTACACCCAGAGTAAGAGACCGAGGCTCTTTGTTGGAAAAGGTTAAGAACAACTAGTCAAATCCGATTCCTTGTGAAATATTAATGCACAGAATCAAGTAACACTTTGAAAATCAGTCTGTTGCTGCACTGAACCAGGTGTCATTTATTCATGAGGCCCCTTCGTTATTCTGGTTTTGGGTTTTTTTCCAGGGGACGATTCTCCATAGTCAAGAAATGTGTTCACAAAGCCACACGGAAAGATGTTGCTGTAAAATTCATCAGTAAAAAAATGAAAAAGAAAGAGCAGGCAGCACATGAAGCAGCTTTGTTACAGCACTTACAGCATCCTCAGTACATCACCATCCACGATACATATGAGTCTGCAAGTTCTTACATCTTAGTTTTGGAACTGTAAGTATGTGGAGCTTGAATTCAAGTGTCTGGATAAAGGATAAAATTCACCCTGACATCAGGGAAAACAATTTGTTACTGGGGTTTTTTTTAGGGGGGTGTGATGCCAAATGAAATAGCCATTTTCTGCTGAGCTTCCGCTGCCTTTTCTTTACAGTAAGTAAGATTCAGAGGTAGAAATAAAACTGCTTGTTACTCCAGCAAAACTCAGGTAATTGTATCAACAGTTAGTTTGTCCTATTGAAAGGCATTAGATTTACCTGGGCAGTTTTGGCCAGTTTTTACATTCAAGTAAATGTGTCTCAGTTACATTGAAACCTACACTGTTCTAATACTTCTTGGTGAAAAAAAACCCTGTGTAGTAACTATTCTTGCCCCTATAAGGAGAAACACAACCAAGATCCAAAATGCTCCTTTGTTACAGTTTATCCAACAAAGTATATTTGGGCTATTTTCTTGTTTATTTATACAGATAAATAAAACTAGGTGGAAAACTTTTATTGGGTTAGTGTTCCCACAGAACATATTACCAGCTGAAAATGTCAGCAATTTATTTTTTTTTCTGCATTATGCAACCAGCTCTATAAATAAATTGATGAAACCAAATAATTAAGATTATTTGTTTTCAAAGGAATTGCCTCTGCCTATTGAATCCATCCTTAAGCAAATGAGTTTACTTTGAGATTGTTGCTAAATTTTTCAAGGTCCAGAGGTAACAACTGAGGTTTAATCATTCTACCACTTCCATGGCCTGCACTATCTTGAGGTATCGTTAACTCATCAGAACTTGCATTTGACTTTTCTCCATTTTTAGGTCATGAAGTTTCCACTGCAATTTTGTTTTCAAATATTAACTGTTCCTAGAGATACCATGTGATCTTTGACATGTGGAGTTTGATTTGTTTGTAGGATGGATGACGGTCGTCTCTTAGATTATCTAATGAACCATGATGAACTGATGGAGGAAAAAGTCGCCTTCTATATACGAGACACCATGGAAGCCTTGCAGTACCTTCACAATTGCAGAGTGGCTCATTTAGACATCAAGGTGAGAAGAAAAGATAATGGTGCTATTATTCAGTGCCCTGGTACAGAGGGTTCCCAGCTGCACAGGCAGGAGGAGGTGCAGTCTGTACCCCAAAGAGATGATTACTGAATGAACAAGCACTATGTTTCAGGCCTTATTGACTAGAGAAAGGACTTACTGACCTGCAGCTCAAGGTCCTTTTCTTCCTTCAGACAAGAGGTGCACTGTTACCTTTATTCACTGGTTTGTTCTCTAGGGCTTTCTGGATTTAATGAAGGAGAGAGAGGCTGTCTGAGACAGGAGTGAGATGTCACTAACACCTGAGTGAAGGGGAATGATAAGATAAATCTACAGGGTATGGTTTGGGCTCACACTAGTACCACCTTGGCTACCAGGCTTCCTGAGCAGAGCTGGCTTGTACCCAGGCAGCTCAGGGCAGGACAGGAGGAGCACGTATCTCACTCACATCTGCAGCAGTGCCCTGGAGAGCCCAAAGCAAGAAGATGGGGGCTGCAGGGAAGCAGGAGGTGGGGAGGGCTGACAGGGAGAAAGGAAAGCAGCCCACTGCATTGTGCTGCAGAGCCTGAGAGGGGAGCTGGGTGGGAAGTACACCCAGGAAGAGGTTCAGAAGAAGAACATTGTGGAGAAGAAATTCAGGCAGTCTCTTATGTCACACTCAGATTATCACAGCTCGTACCTATTTTAGGTAGTGCATATGGCAGGAGACACTGTACTGTCCTGGATTCAGCATTGTCCTGTGTCCTCACCAACATCCCACTTATCTTGGATGACAGAGAATTACCAGTTGAAGTTATGATTGAGTGCTTTGAGTTTTGTGATCTGCAACATAGATTTGGGTTGCCAGAGATATCAAATAATGTGTACTTTTTTTGCAGACTTAAATACCAATTAAAAATGGAGAATGGCAGATGAATTTAACTGTCTTGTGTAGTGGGCAACCCAGCTCCACAGAGGTCTCTTCTCAGAACTCCAAGCCCCAGGCGTGTCAGAAGCAGTGACGCTTTCATCCTTCTGCTCCCTATTAGTGCTACAAAAAAACAGATATTCTTTTTGTACAGTCTCTTATGTGAGCATTAGTCCCTAAAGGCTAAATTGTCCTGGTTTCTTTCAGTAAGATTGATTGTATTTTCTGCTGTGTTTATAGGACCTGTCAAAAACCAGGTATCATTTGGAGGTAGGAAACTGCACTGAATTCTCTATTTGATCATAAGATACTTCCCAGAAACAAAGTGGGGAGCCAATTTTCTGTGACCTATTTACAGTTTGCCTGAATGAGGGATGCTAAATAAAGAACCTTCTGTTGCTAGGTGGGAAGCAGGAGATGTATGGATAGTGAGAGCTGACCTAGCCATGTCCCAGGATCCTGCTCAAGAACGTGTTGATTTTGTCAATGCAGACAGCACAAGGGAGGAGCAAGCAAGATTTGACCAGCAGTGTAGTGAATTTTACCTTAAATATATATAGCCATGAGGTAGCAGTAAAATAGGCATGGTGCAGAAGTGTGAGTCGAGTGCAAGAAGTAAATTCAGAAATCATCTCAGAGCCAACAAAGGAAGCAAAATCAAATCTTAAGTCCCCAGAGCAGAGTGTATAGGCAATGCTCAGCACCTCCCATGGAGAGAGAGAGACCTTAAATACTGAAAGAGTTGGTAAAATAGAGGGAAAACCAACTGGGATGAAATCTAATTGGACTCTGACTTAGAAGGTCTGACTGTGTGTTGGTGTTTGTAAGACAATACTGGCAGCTCCATTCATGTCAGATGACAGCAAAAAGAGTGGCATGCACCGGAGTCCCTCCTAGCATATGTGGTAGTGGGAGCAAAGCTTCACTTCATGAGGAGTGTTTCTGCTTGCCCAGCTTGCCCACATTTACGTAGCCAGGTGCCATGTAAACAAATGGAATCTGAGTAAAGCAATCAGATACACAAGTCTTGTCTCAAAAATAAAAATTCTGTCAGTGCTTTTAATCGGTAAAGATTAGTTTGGGAAAATAAGCTATACTGGGGACAATGTGCAGAATGCCACTGTGCTTCCCTAGTGCAAAAGGAGGATGTTGTCATTGCAACTTCAGGATTGATCCAAATGTACAGCAGTGCACACAGCAGCTGAGCTGGTTCCTTGTCATTGGGTCTCCTGATATGTATCTCCTACATGTGATTGACTGCGAGTTTTGATTGGCTATTGAAACTAAATGAAATCTAGAAAAAATTTTGCAAAAGGATAATATAGTTGAGTTTTTGCTATTGTCTTTTCAACAGCCAGAAAATCTGCTCATTGATTTAAGAATCCCAGTACCTCGTGTCAAGATCATTGATTTGGAAGATGCAGTTCAGATCACAGGTCACTACCACGTCCACCAACTCCTCGGAAACCCAGAGTTTGCAGCTCCTGAAGTTATCCAAGGCCTTCCTGTCTCCCTGAGCACAGATATCTGGAGCATAGGGGTCCTCACCTATGTCATGTTAAGTGGTGTCTCTCCATTCCTGGATGAAAGCAAAGAGGAGACTTGTATCAACGTGTGCCGAGTAGATTTCAGCTTCCCGCACGAGTACTTCTCTGATGTGAGCCATGCTGCCAGGGATTTCATCAACGTTATCCTCCAGGAAGACTTCAGGAGAAGGCCAACAGCAGCCACTTGTTTACAGCACCCATGGCTGCAGCCGCACAACGGCAGCTATTCCAAGATCCCACTGGATACCTCCCGCTTGGCTTCCTTCATCGAGCGCCGCAGGCACCAGTACGACGTGCACCCCGTCCCCAGCGTCAAGAGTTTCCTGATGAGCAGGATGAGCCCAGGCACGTAATGTCCCCCCCGGGGTCCCACACTGCTGGTGCTGAGGCCAGGCACAGGGAGCACAGGCACAGAGCAGGCCTGTCTGTACATAGTCCCTTATCCGGCGTTTGCGTTTCATGTGGCTTCCCCAGCTGGAGGGTACAAATGATTGTGGAGGTGGCAGGACCTGCCCAGCTCATCCTGGGACACGTGCTATTGTCGCCTCTACTGCCAAAAAAAGACCTGTGGGAAGCAAACACCAACTGGAAACGAGAGCCAAAATTGCAGTTGCCTTAATCTTTGTGAGGCAGCCTTAGAAGAAATCCTCTTGATCTTGCTGAACTGGTTTCAAAACGTATGAGAGATGAGGAGTTAGGGGGGCAGTGAGACTAGGCCGACCTTAGCGTGTACTGCAGGGTGGGACTGAAGGCAGGTTTTGCTGAAGTCATTCCAAGCCTGCTCCAGGTTAACAGAAGGATTTTAGACACCCAGGGCTGCCGTGATTTCAGTGCAGCCTTTCCCTGCGTAGGACATGCAAGACCCAGGCTGTACTCACTGCTGGATCAGCTTCCGTGGTGGCATGGCTTAGGTACACTGGCTGCATGGTGGTGCTCAGACCAAAATCCCCCCCCCGTTGATCCTTGGGCTCTCTGCTGTGCCAAGTCAACACACAGCAGATTAAGGCAGTGAATGCATTGGAGCTGGTTTTGACTAAGCACAATGGGACTACGATGGGTGTTTGTTGTTGGTTTTTTTAAAGCATTTTATAAACACTGTACAGAAATCTTTTGCAAAACCTGTGCATTGAGAAAAGGCTGTGTCAAATTTTTGCAGTATCTGTAAACTAGACGATGATGATGATGACAATTTTTTCTATCACAGGTTTTCAGTATACATATATTGTATCATATATATAAATATAAATATATATAAAGGATCCTGTTCCATTTCTAGCTTCAGAATTGTGTGGCCCAAAGTCCATCTAAGCCTTCCAGAGTGCAGTAGGAGTGGTGAGTTCATCCTTGTGCTTACAGCTTGAAAATTGTTTTCAGTGTTTAAATATATCATTTGTTTCATTTCCAAACTTGTAAATACCTCTCAGCAGCCATTAGCACCTCCTCACCAAAGCATTTGTGAGGATACTTTTATGTCCAAAGCCTAATTTGCAATAAAATTTAAAAATTAATAATATTCACAATTAAAACATTTCTCTCTCACGAGCCAAGTTGCAACATCATTATATTGATGTTACAGTGATGGAGCCAGCCTGAAGTAGAACTGAGGCAGTGCCAAATCAGCAGGCCACAGGCTGGCCACATCTTCCTCTCTAGCAGTGGGATTGGGAGGGGAAACCCCTTTCCCGGCTGAGGTTTCCCTGCCCGGGGTTTCCCCTCCTGTAGCCTGACGATCTGAGTATTTTTCTCCCCCAGGGCATGCAAGGGCTTTGTCTCCCGGTGCTACGCGCCGTTGCTGTGCCCGCAATGGAAATGTCAGTTGTTACCAAAGGAAAAGGGCTTGATCTGACCGTGTGCGCTCAGTACAGACTCTCTTGTTAAGGGCAAGAGTCAAATTCAATGCAGCATCCAGGGAACCGCCCTGTGAGCCCGCAATGCTCCTGCAGGAGCAGCAGCTGCCTCTGCCAGCAGGCCCTGGAGATGCTCTGCAAGTGCCGTGAAACTTCGGATCCACCTCCGAGCTCAGTTTCACATCCAGTAGGACACCTGGGCCTTCAGTTTGTGCTTGCACTGTCAGTATGCTGGAGCGGCCAGGATTTTGCTAGTGGGAAAGAAAGGAGGCACAGCAACAAGACCCCAAAGCTGTTCAGCACCATGTGCACGGGCTACAAGAACAAGACCACAGCCACGGGCAGGTGAGCCCGGGGTCCTGAGCAGCCAGAAGCAGTATAGGAAGTTGTGTGGCTGAGGGGAAGAGACCTATCACAGGGGGAGGATGTGGAAAGGGTTGGAAGGGGCGGATT